CAAGTATGAAGGGATATATTATAGAATGTTTGCAAGTATGAAGTGATATTGTATAATGTTTATCCAAGTATTAAGGGATACTATAGGATGTTTTCAAGTATGAAGGGATATATTATAGAATGTTTGCAAGTATGAAGTAATATTATAAAATTTTCACAAGTATGAAGGGATATTGTATAATGTTTATCCAAGTATTAAGGGATACTATAGAATGTTTACAAGTATGAAGGGATATATTATAGAATGTTTGCAAGTATGAAGGGATATTGTAAAATGTTTACAAGTATGAAGGGATATACTACAGAATGTTTACAAGTATGAAGGGATATATTATAGAATGTTCACAAGTATGAAGGGATATATTATAAAATTTTCACAAGTATGAAGGGATATTACATAATTTTAACTCAAGTGGTCGGCGATTATATATCAATACAATGAAGACGACTTTTTATAAATAATGCTTTGATCCTTAACCAGCATTTTTTAAATTTAGAATTCGGTTTAAATGATCCAAACCTTTTAGAGTAAATAAAGAATGTGTTAATTCCATATGTTTTGAAAATATATTTCGTTTGGGGTTGACCCTCTTTAGTTCTATCAATACAAAAACTATCAAATTCAATATTAAAAATGTTTAAAAATCACAAGAAAATAAACACACAAAGAAGGGTCTATAAGAAGAGTTATTTAAACTTATTATTATAGAATTAGACTTATACAATATTTGTTTTGTTTTTTAAATACTGAATTAGATGTTGGAAATGAATAAACCTTTTTTTTCGGTTCATTCCTTTGAGTTAAAGTCGCTAATGTATTTAGATTCTCAATAATTTATTCCCAAGGTTCCAAACCTTTACAAGTACGCTAACTTTTAGATGGTGAAGTTCATGGAATTAAAATCTTCATTGTTTATTATTTTATTAAAATTATATGTTACTTAACTACAAATTATTTAATTTGTAACGTTTATGATAATGAATGATACATCACTGAACGTGGTAAATTAGGTTTATAAAAATACAAATTAAAAAATATTATGACTAAAATATATTTATGTCTGCATTTTTTAGACGATTGTTATAGTTTGCAAGTTACAACTTTTTAGACGATTGTTTTAGTATGCAAGTTACAACTTTTTAGACGATTGTTATAGTTTTCAAGTTACAATTAATGAACTTGATGGAATCAAGGGAAAATGTTGAAATAAGTAAAACTTAACTATCACACATGTCAGATGTCGGAATTCATGGAATGTCGTTCAACTTGAACGCTTAATCTCGATATCAAATGTTGGCTCTTTTAAATTTAAAGATAAATGCTCGATCCCTCTGTCAAAGTTATCCCTACGGTGTTTGACCACCACGGGATATCCCTACGGTGTTTGACCACCACAGGATATCGAAGCGAAACTTATTTCATCTTAAACCCGAGATTCAGAAAACAAAAGTGTTCACTTCAGATTTCTAAACTTTTGTTTCAAGTGCAAAAAAATAAAATTTAACTTATTTTGAAATGATTTTTAAGTTACCAATTATGCAGCTAGACATAGTTAGATTGTTTACTTGAGAGTAGAAGAATACTTTGAAATCAAAACAATATTTGAAATAAACAAAAATAAATTAAATTAACAATAAAAGAGATTTTTTTCTCGCTTCACAAGACTTCAGAAGACTGTAATTTTTCTTTTTCTACTCCCCCCCCCCCTTCAACTCAAGTTCTTTGTTTCACTTTTAAGAAATTTATTCTTAATCCGTATATTTTTCATATACAGCAAATCACATTTTTCCAGTTTTAATCCCTTTATCTTTTTATCACTTAACCTTTTGCAACCCTCTGACCAAGAATCACAAACGTCCAACAATTATAGGCCAAGATAAAAACAGAAGTGATTGGTTTTTGTTTTTTGATCTCCATTTCCTGTTTATTATTTTTACTCTCTATCTTCTGTTTTCTTTTTTCCATTTTCCTTTCTCTAATTCTTCTTTTCTTGCTTTTTACCTCCTGTTTTCTGTTTTTTACTTCCTGTTTCCTGATTCCTGTTTATTATTTCCTGTTTTCTGTTTTCTATTTCCTGTTTCTGTTTCTATTTCCTGTGTTGTATTGAGTTGTATTGATGAGGTGGTGAGCAGCTGATTAATCCTTTTCTCCACATTTTCTCTAATATCAGTCATATCAAACAATCTAAATATACAAATATATATCAAACAATCTAAATATACAAATAAAAAAAAATAAAAAAAGAACCTGTAAAATCTTTCCCTGTGATGTTTAGAATGATGAAAATTTCCCTGTATAATAATTGAAGGACTGCAGTATGGTTTTGGTGAATTATATTGGCGTACTAAGCCTATAGTGGTGTCAGAAATGATTTTTTTTTTTTGCATATTTTTGAAAACTCCTATAAAAGTTATAAAGTTTAATTTTTGATAAAACGTTTCGTTCTGGATGATTTCAAATACCTATTTAAAACTTTCTTAAACCGGCATATTTTTTCTAAATTCATTTAGTTAAGAGTCTGAGTCGTCAAAAAAACTTTTTTTTTTCAGAATCTTTCCTACTTTTTGAAAGGATTCACATCAGTATGTTTAAGGATATCTACTCGATTTAAAGCAATAATTATCACTAATTATTTTTGACTTAAGCTCTTAACAAAGTGAATTAAAAAAAAACATGTCTGTTAAAGAGAATTTTCTATGAATGTATGCAATCACCCAGAACAAAAAGTTTGATCAAAATTCAATTTTTCTAGGTTTATGGGACGCTTTCAAAAAAAAAGCAAAAAAAATTATTTCTGACACCCCTAAGCTTAGTACGCCAATATAATTGACCAAAACCATACTCCAGTCCTTCAATTATCATTCAGGGAAATTTTCATCTTTCTAAATATCCCAGGGAAAGATTTGACAGGTTTCTTCGTAGTTTTATTTAATTGTTTTAACTTTAAACAGCTTTATTTCCTCTTAAGATTAAATTAAAAATTTCTCCATTGCTTAGATTTTTCCCTTACTTTAGTTTGTAAATAAGATATTCCGTTTCGTACATCCTGAAAAAATCATTTAATGAAATAACTGAACAAAAACTCTTATAAAACTTAATAACATTTAACTTAATTTAACTATCTAAATTTACAATCTTTTTATATATATTTTTTCATTTAAAAGTTTTAATTAATAAAAATGTAGAAATAATGAGAATGTGATCGTTTCGGACTCTGATCATGTTTTATCCTAGTTTAGATTCTCTTTATTTTTTCATCAGCCCGTCCTTTTTATGTGTTCACAATTAATTTAAGAACCCAGCTTTGTCTGGAAACAAAAGTCAATTTACTCAACATTTCCGTTGTTCGACCAATCAAAATTTGAGGCAAATTAGTATAGGGGTTCATGAGTTATGATCGGACAAACAAACAGAGATTACTACTTTATATATATGCTAGCTTGGGAACCCAGCGCTACCCAGGTTACTTATAATTATTCTTTCCGTTTACCCGCACTTCGACTACTCAACTTAGAATCTCAAAACCAAGCTAAGAACATTCCCGTGGCTCTCCCAAGATCCCCAACAAAAGTTTGAGGAAAATCGGTCAATGGGTTCCTTAGTTATGATCGGATAAACAAACAGACAAACAGAGATTACAACTTTATATATATTGATAAAGGTTATACAATCATAGAATTCATTACCCCTCTGGAGTAATATAATGAAAAGATATTGCTCTCTCACTGCAGCAGTCAAATCCTTAAATGAAAAATATTAAGACATTTTTGAAAAAAAAATTAAAATGAAATTTTAATCTGGAGGCTTTATATGAGCATAAAGTCAAAACATGCACAATTTAGACCTGTTCTTCAAGATAAAGTAACTGAACATTTGCCACATTCTAATTCTATAATCACTATATAATTGCAGCCTGGTATTTTGAACCTTTGATATATAAAACTATAAATTCTGTTAGATTAAAAAGTCTAAGTTTTAAATATAATCAGGTTACAAAGATATATGGATTAGAAAATTATAGTCAGTGGCAACTGTTAATTTTCTTTGTGCGACATATATAAGTAAGAAACGAATTTTTTAGCAGTTAAATTACAATTTATCACTGCAGATATATATGCTTGAATTTTTTATCAGTTAAATTACAATTTATCACTGCAGATGTATCTTTTTGAATTTTTTAGCAGTTAAATTACAATTTATCACTGCAGATGTATACTGCTATAATTTTTTAGCAGTTAAATTACAATTTATCACTGCAGATGTATCTTTTTGAATTTTTAGCAGTTAAATAACAATTTATCACTGCAGATGTTTCTGCTAGAATTTTTAAGCAGTTAAATTACAATTTATCACTGCAGATATATCTGCTATAAATTTTAAATTTTTTAGCAGTTAAATTACAATTTATCACTGCAGATGTATACTGCTATAATTTTTTAACAGTTAAATTACAATTTATCTCTGCAGATGTATCTGCTAGAATTTTTTAGCAGTTAAATTATAATTTATCACTGCAGATATATCTGCTAGAATTTTTTTCTTCAAGAAACGCGGTTGTTTCTGCCGCAATGAATCTACTGTTACCTGTTTCTGGTTTTTTAGACATGTAACTATATACCCAGCTGGTGTTTTCTACTGTCATCATATGCCAAACATGAACAGGGAAGAAGGTCTCCTCATCTCTCTAAATAAATATGTCACGGGCGCCATATTTTATGGAGGTCAATAATAATCTTTTTTCAATTTATTATTTGTAGTTTTTTTTTCTATATATATATACTTTGCCACAAACTTTGATATCGTAGACCTTTGATATTTCAAACAATGAATTCTATAGATCAAATAAAGCAAATTTGAAGTATTAAGTGTACATTATCAGGTTACAAAGATATAGAGATCAGACAATTTGAGTTTGAGGCAAAAGTAAAAAAATAAGATATGTTTAGATATCTTTTTTTAAATTGAAGACTTAAAGCAGTTTTTTTTATGGTGTTGCATTCTTATCTTGTGAGACATAACCTTGAAACTTCTTGATATTGAAAAAAAGGGTTTGAGAGGATTTTTTTCAAAACATTTTTTGGAACCCTTAAGTGGGGAAGGCTTGTCAAGTTGTCAGTGGTTTAAAAAAACTAATTATGAAAACGTATCCACCCCCAAACTAGGAGTTTTGAACGTCGAATTTGCGCTCAAACTCGGGATTTACAGATCTTTAAAAAGTTTAATATGTCTCATATGAATCCGAAAGAAGTTTTCCACAACACTGCATACTCAGTTCAACTACCTTACATAGCCGTTCACTCCCTTTCAGAATAAATTTATAAACAGTATTAAAATACATTTCAATTTCAATTGAATTTCTTAAAAAAAAAAAAAGATATTTTCTTCAGAAAAATTTGTGAATTTATCCTGGCGAAATTACCCTGTAATGTTAGCTAGACGAAATGTTAATAACTTTATTTTAATTTTTCTTATGAAAAAAGAGAAACTTTAGAAATTTTCAAAAGAAAAAAAATTTATCTAAGTGAAACTTACCTATCTAGGCAAAAAGTTAGTAGGCAAAAGTGTACTGGGCGAACTTGCACTAGGCAAAATGTTACTGAGCAAACAGGCAAACATACGTTAAAAAATGGATCATTTCACGTACCGGGCCGATTTTTAAGGTAAATTGTACAGCACACATACAGACTATGCAAGGGAAAAGTTGACAGTACGCTAAATGGATCAGCCCATTTTAAGGAGATTCTTGTGATACAGACAAGCTGCAAAGAAATGGAGTCTTTGCCACAAACTCTGGCCTTCTAATCTAGCTTAAATATAAAAAGTTTACATCATCAGGTTGCAAAGATATACCATTTTTGAGTATGTGGTAAAGACTCAATTATTTTATATATGATAACAAACCTTTTGATCTCTGGAAGAAGAAGGATGAACTCCTATATTAGAGAGACAGACACCCATCTCTACATCCTCTGTACCATCCTGCAATTCAATATTTTAGAGAGACAGACGTCAGACACCCATCTCTACATCCTCTATACCATCCTGAAATTCAATATTTTAGAGAGACAGACCCCCATCCCTACATCCTATATACCATCCTGCAATTTAACCTCGATTACTCGCCAAAAACTCCATTTTTATAGTTCTAATTCTATTTTATCTAATTAGTTAATTCTATGTCCTCAAATTAGTTAAATCAGTAAAATTGGATAGAATAAAACTATCAGCATGGAATTTGAAATACAGTGAGAACCAGAAAACTGTGGAACAGAAAGACGACTCTTAAACTCAAGTTATGCTTTTAGCGAGTCCAAAGGTCATCAAATCCCGCAATTGTGCTCAAAAAGAACATCAAATATATATAAGGTTACTTAAATGTCGTCTTCTTATTCACTGTTTAATGGGTATCACTGTATTGCAAACTCAAGGAGTGTATGACAGAAATAGCTGGCATATTTTTATAAGGAAATGTAAACTGATCAGAATAAACATAATTCATATAAAATTCATATAAAAAAATGCTTTCTAAAAAAGTAAAAGAGACATTTTATTGACACTTTAAGCGTCAGACGTCATCTTCAAAGTTGCTGAACGTATTAAATGTCAATTGTTCTATCACTTTACAGCTATAGAACCAGAAAACTCTGGATAGAAAGACAATTTTAAGACTCAAGTTATGATTTTAAATAATTCAATGAGTATGAGACACAGCAATTGTGCAGCGTAATCAGACTCATTTCATTTAATAAGTTATTTAATAAGTTATATTAAACCTATTTTCTTAGTGACAACGTTAGATACAGCTAAGCCTATAATGTCGTCTTCCTATTTAATAGTTTTCTGGTTCTCACTGTAGCTTCTGGTTATATTTATTAAAATACTCACATCTTGGCCTAAAACATGACAGGTTCTGGGAGTAAATAAAAATATTTAATAAAGATAAATTCCTAATACTTTGTATTTTCTAGAGTTATTAACATTAAAATGGCTTTCTCAGACTTTGAAATATTGTTTATAAGAAATTTGTAATTGAATATTAATGCTAAAATATATATGTACTTGAAATATTTGTTTATCTATAACCCCTTTATATATATTTGAAGTATTTGTTTAATATTTGTTTAATAATTGTTTAATATTTGTTTATCTACCACTGTATATATATATATATACTTGAAGTATTTGTTTAATATTGTTTAATAATTGTTTAATATTTGTTTATCTACCCCTGTATATATATATATACTTGAAGTATTTTTTTAATATTGTTTAATATTTTTTTAATATTTGTTTATCTACCCCTGCATAAACTAGAGTTTGTGAACGCTTTTGTAACCACCAACTCCACAGCCTTCCTGGATAAAAATTATTAATGGGAGAGATTGTAAAATAAAATGTTCAAAATTTACTATAGCTACAATTCATCTGTATGGATGCGACTTTGATGAAGAACTCGTTGAAACTAACTTTCAAATGGATGAATCAGTTTTCCTGCATCTTAATGTTGCATTCGTTTATAAAGTCTCAAGCTTTGTTTATGGCTAAAAGAGAGATATAGTGTTTCCCACGAAACATGACATTAGCAAGACGATTGAAACGTCGTCGTTGATTTTTGATATAATTTGCCAAATTTTATTTGTCAACCTAAATTTAGAAGCAAAATTCTAGAGATAATAATCACAAAGTACCCCTAGTCCTGGCATTTCCTAAATGTAGTCTGCCCTTTTTGTACTTTCAATATTATCCGAGATCTACAGAATTTTGTTCAGATTTCTAAAATTTCGATTTTATTTAACAAAATCGAAATATGAACGAAATATTAACAGCACAATAAAGGCAAGATTAGGATAATTTTCTAGTTATTGTTTCAAGAAACCTGCATGTTAAAGAAGATTGACGACTGAATGTCTCAAATAAATTCCGAGATCAAAGACGACTTTCAAATCGTCTTGCATCTCTCATGTTTCGTGGAATACCCCTGTAGTTAAAAATGTTTGAATATGTTATTAACTGTAAATTATACAATATTTTGTAAATTGGGTTCTTTTTTACAGTATCTTAAAGGAACTAACAACAAAATTGTAATTGTCCCCCTCATTTAATTAGGGACATAACCGATTCACAATAGTTCCTTTAACTCTTCGCCTGAACATAATTGATGAAGATATCTTTGTTTTTCATCTGAAAATGGAAAAAATACAGATTTTCGAAAATAAAACGCTCATATAATATACAAAAGTCGTGATTTAAAGAAAACGCTAGAACAAAGTCGGAACGATCGAGAAAAATCGGTAAAATTTGGATTTTGAGGTTTAACAGTGAAAAAATAAAATCCCACCTTGAAAGAATATATCCTGAGCCTCCACTCATATATCCTTGATCAACAATAACTCCAAAATGTTGTCCAAAAAAAGTTGGAAATTCTGGATCGTGTTGAGCTAAAACCAAAATATATTCGTTATGATTATCTGCTTTATGTTAGAATGTTGATGTAAAGAGGAATATAAAATGTTTTTCTTTTTTCTTTTTTTCTTTCAGTTCAAGAAAGGATGTTCAATTTTCATTGTTCAAAGTGAATTCATACAAATTATCTTAGTACTGTACCGTACGGTGATGTACACTGTAACTGTACGTGAAATTTTCCTCTGTTATCAAACAACGTTACATTCTATACAAAAAGACATTACAGCCGAAATTACCGAGCATATTATGAAGGTTTTCCATTATAACATATGTATCATCATCAGCTTTCATCACCCAATCCACCTTGTAGCAAATTTATAATGACATTTTGTATTATTTAGTTTTTTTCTTATTTTATGTGGCCAAACTTATATTTTGTCATCCACCTCAATTTTGCAGTCAAAAACGTCCGAAGACGTATGGTCGACGTAACGAAATATACCAAAGACATATAGGTGACATATCGAAATAGACCAAAGACATATAAGCGACGTATTGAAATAGACCAAAGACATATAGGCGACATATCGAAATAGACAAAAGACATATAGGCGACATATCGAAATAGACCAAAGATATATAGGCGACATATCGAAATAGACCAAAGACATATTAGCGACATATCGAAATAGACCAAAGACATAAAGGCGACATATCGAAATGCATCGAAGACATATATGGGCAACATATACAAATAGACCAAAAACATATGGTCGCCGTATCGAAATACACAAAAGATAATTACAATACAACTTAGTTTAGTCAATTCAACATAAAGATATCATATACTTCTAAATTTACAATTAGTTAATTACAATTTACAATTTAAACGTTTTTGTTTACAACTAACAATTTACAATTTACAAATCATACATATACTTGAATATTTTTTAATCCATTCACAATTATTTATATACATTTTACAATTGACTTATAAATATAGATTTACAAATAGGTTGTAAATTTACAAATGGCAAAGGAACTGGTCTCATACTGAGCCTCTAATGAAGATGTATGGGCGAGGACATATCAAAATATACCACAAACCTTTGGGCGACATATCAAAATATACTAAAGAAATATAGGCGACATCTCGTAATAGATCAAAGACGTATCGAATCGAAATACCACGAAGATATATTGGCGACATATTAAAATACACCAAATTCATATGTTTAACATATCGGAAAGTATTTGCGCATCAATAAAAAAGTACCTGATCAAGGAGATGATCAAATGCAAATTGAAATCCATATTTTGTTTTAGACCAAAGATTTTGATAGTTTTCCTAACACAATTAATATAAACATATTTTTCCTAACAAAATGAATAAAACAGATAGTTTTCCTGACAAACTGAATTAAAAAAATTTTCCTAACAAAAAAATATAAAGAAGTTTTTCCTAACAAAATAAAAATAAAAAACATTTTTTTAAGAAAATAAATATAAAGACATTTTCCTAACAAAATAAATATAAAGACATTTTTCCTAACAAAATAAATATAAAGAAATTTTCCTAACAAAATAAATATAAAGACATTTTTCCTAACAAAATAAATATAAAGACATTTTTCCTAACAAAATAAATATAAAGACATTTTTCCTAACAAAATAAATAAAAAGACATTTTTCCTAACAAAATAAATAAAAAAGACATTTTTCCTAACAAAATGAATACACTGTAAACTGTTGACAGTGTACATTTTTACCGGGAACTTCCCCTTCTCAATGTACGGTACGTGCAAGGTTCTAATGTAAGGAAAGTTATTACAGAGGAGTACGCATCTTTTGTACTGCAGTGTACTGTCTCTGAGACTCTGGGCGGTAATGTAAACACAAGACGGATGTCGAAGCCTGACATGGGATCCATCTTTCACATAAAAAATCAATGAAATATTCTGGTCATAGGAAACTATATATGTGAATTATTAAGTTATAAAAATTTAATGCTTTTAATCTCCTCGGATACTAAACGAACACTTATGCATCTATTCTTGTTTGCAAATTTCGCCCAGAGAGAACTCATTTCAATATGTACGCAGAGTATACCCAATTAGCTTTCCTTGCATTAGTACCTTGGGTTCGTAGGCCGGAAAGTTCAGTATGGGGGAAGCAACGTTGAGACGATGTAAGATTACACTTTTAAATAGAAAAGTTCCCACAAAAATGCCAATTTACAGACTTATGTAATCAATCTTTGATTCTTCGTCAAGGCACAAAAAGTTGCCACAAAGTGAAAATTTTCGAGAATTGGAGGGGTTAATTAGTTTTCAGATGATGGACAAAGATTATATTTGATTTTATAATATTCTTCGTCAAGCCGAAGACACAAAAATTAGCCCCAAAGTGGGCATTTTATTGGAGAGGTGACGTCATCTTATCCTTGTTATCTAATTATTTTTTTGCTATTAGCTCTACTTAAAGTTCTTATAATATTTACTTAAGGACTACTTGTAAAGTACCTTTGCTGGATTATGTAGAACAGGCAAACCATGGTCCCCCTCTTCGGACTAAATTAACAAAAATATATTTTTTTCATTTAATAATATATTTTAAACGAACAAAAAACTTTTTTTTCGATATTTGTAGGTTTTTATAAAAAGAGGATTAAAGAGGACTACGGATGTGTACAGAACATCCTCAGTAAATTGGAGAAACGGGACAGATGCTGAAGGACAGGTTGAGAGAAGACAGAGGGGTACCATCATGCAGCCAGTGGCCGAATTTAAAGAATTTAAGCGGCGGTTTAAATTTAAGCCGCGGTTTAAATATGGTTGGTTCCTCTTAAAATTGTATCAAATGTTTCAAGATTTAAACTGGCGCTTAATTTAAACCTGGTTTTGGCGGATTTAAACCGCGGCTCAAATTCTTTAAATTCCATCTCTGGACAGCTAAATACAACTAAGCCTGTAGGAGTACATTTTGGACAGCAAGGTCATGACTACACAAATCTAAGAATGATCCCATTGGAACAAATCCGATCAAGAGATCCAATGGATCCGATCAAGAGATCCAATGGATCCGATCAAGAGATGCAATGGATCCGATCAAGAGATTCAATGGATCTGATCAAGAGATGCAATGGATCCGATCAAGAGCTTCAATTGATCCGATCAAGAGATCCAATGGATCCGATCAAGAGATTCAATGGATCTGATCAAGAGATCCAATGGATCCGATCAAGAGATTCAATGGATCTGATCAAGAGATCCAATGGATCCGATCAAGAGATTCAATTGATCCGATCAAGAGATCCAATGGATCCGATCAAGAGATCCAATGGATCTGATCAAGAGATTCAATGGATCCGATCAAGAGATCCAATGGATCCGATCAAGAGATCCAATGGATCTGACCAAGAGATCCAATGGATCCGGCCAAGAGATCCAATGGATCCGATCAAGAGATCCAATGGATCCGATCAAGAGATTCAATGGATCCGATCAAGAGATCCAATGATGTTCCAGGGCCCAAAAGGTTATATAGCAAAAATATGCGAAATACACCTGCAGTATGAAAACAGTACAACAAAATGGCCGTTTTACACTTTTTTCTATTAAATTCCTCTCTATATATACAGAGCGTCCCATATCATATTAGATTATCTCCAATCTTTAACACCAAAATAAACCCTTAATACTCGAAAAACTTATCATTTTCCGCAAGAAAATTCTTAAATAAGCCTTATGTTATTTTTCAAAATGATTCATTCTAATGAAATTTTCTAATTAGTCCCGAAAATCGTAATTTAGACCCGTTCTCGGTCTAATATGATTCTCTTTGGTTTTAAATGTCGTTGTTCATCCTGATTTTTAACAATTTTTAATCTACCTGGGGTGCATTGTGTACATTGTAGTTGTTTGTAAACATATATATATATATATTTTTGTTTCTTGGACAGTTCTCTCTTTATATTATTTTACCCTATATTTGTACAGCTTTATTTCCTCTGAATTTGTTTATTGTTTTAGTTTTAATTACAACATGAGCTGAAAACTTTAGAATGGGATATCCTTAATTCCGATCGGTTAATTAATCTGGAGATTAATAACTCGAGGAGAACAAGCATTATTTAATCTCGAGATCAAGAAGAAGAGTGGATCAAGCATTGATCTCGATATCCACCACTCTAAAGTTTTCAGCTATGACTATTTTGAATATTAATTTCTAATGTTTTCTCCATTTTACAGATATTCATTAGTCATCTGAAAATGTTGTGGTTTACAACGAAATATATTATGGCGAAAATGACAGTTGTTTAAAACCTAGAGTGATAAGTTGGGTTGGAGAGAGTATAATCATGAAATCATTGATTAAGAGGACTACAGGGGACTAAAAATGACTAAAGAGGACTACAGAGGATTAAAGAGGACTGCAGGGGACTATAAAGGACTATAGAGGACTACTGAAGACTAAAGGAGACCAGAGGACAAGAGGAAAACAGAAAAATATAGTGCCACAGAAGACTACAGAAGACTAAAGAGGACTAAAGATAACTACAGAGGGCTAAAAAGGACTAGAGGACTTCAGAGGACCAAAAAGGACTACTGTGGACTATATAGGACTCTAGGACTACATATAGTCCTATTCTTGACTTCAAAGAACCAGAGGACTATAAAGGACTCTGTAGGACTTCAGAGAACAACATATGAATATAGAACTATACAATTACATGAATACATGACTTATATAACGTCGCAAAAAAGGGGATCGGGGCATTAATTTCGCCCCCACAGGCCCAAAAGTTCAAAAAAGGACATAAATAGTTTTGGTCTGATAAAAAGCGACAGTAAGCTTAATTTCAAATTAATCGTATATAATTGCAGGGCCGGGCCCATAGAGAATAGAATATATATTAGAGGGGAATTTACTAGAAAAAAGTGTAAAACGGCAATTTTGTTGTACTGTTTCCATACTGCAGGTATACTTCACATATTTGCGTTATATAACCTTTTGGGCCCTGGAATATCATTTTATAGAAAATCTAAAATTAATATTAAAAGAAACCCAAATTATGAAATAATTAATATAATTGACCAATGATCATTTGACATAGACTCTATGCATTTCATTTTACAAACGACGATTTTTCGTTATAACTATAAATCAAATGATGTTTTTTATTCACCTAATTCATTGTAAAGTTTATTTAACAGCTTTAAAAAATTCGGAATGGAAATGAATAGGCTAGGGAACATTCTGTATTAATTTACTCTACTGCATATAATTTGTGAATATTTACATGATTTGTGCACTTTGAACTCCCTTTCAGGCTGAAAGGGACTGAAAAAATTCATACCGAGAGATTCTTTAAATTCCCCTCTAATATTTATTCTATTCTCTATGGCTGGGCCCTTCAGCTAGTCGTATATAATCACAGGGTCACTTGAAATCACCTTAGTGCTGAGAAAATACAATAATGTACATCTACTCCCCCAAGTATCAAACACCCTAAAATATCACAATAAAATGTGGATTTTCCCTGTTTTGTAAAAATAAAAATATAAATTTTCTTTTCATTTTAAACTTACGCCTGCGCTCGTAAATGAGCTGCTGGTTGGGTAAGTACAAGGCAGAGTAATCTATTGAGAAAAACTTTTTTTATGTCCAAAATATTTTTCTTATTCAATTCATATTCAATACAGTATTGTTCAGGAGTATCAGTAAGGATTGAAATATTTGAATGATGATGGTATTTTGTCCACACGACATCATTATCTTTATGTTTATTAATTATATTATTATATCACTTAAGTTATTTTTGCAGTAAAATAATTGATTTAAAATCAGAACTTTTGTGTTCTGAATCTTGGGATCACGCATTGATCTTCATCTTATGCAGACTCTAATTTAATTCCCCTTCGAAATTCCGTGGTAGTCATACCCTGAATGGAGGGATCAACATTTACCTCCAAGGATTTGAGTCTTTGCCACAAACTCTGATTTTCTAATCCCTTTATCTTTGCAACGCAATGTCGTAAACCTTTGATATTTCAAACTATTGATTGTGTTAGATCAAATAATCATAGTTTGAAATATTAAAGGTTTACATGATCGGATTGCAAAGATATATGTAGTAGAAGTTTTGAGTTTTTGACAAAGACTCAATTCCTTTAAAAGTGTCCACATTGGATTTCAAGAAAAAATAAAGTGAAACCCTTAATAATTCCTCAAATGTCGTATTCTTCACTTTCTGATACATGGAATGTTGCAGATATTTAGTTTTTTAATTAAATGATTATATGGAACTCTTTAAAACTGTTCACGCATATTCATGGCTATTTACTTATTTTTGCAAATACTGAAATTTACGTAATATAGTGTAAAACTCATTGAAAAATTGTCAAGACGACATTTGATAAATTCTTCCGATGTATTTGTTATTAAGGTTTTCACTGTATACTTCACACACAAGTTCCGACTTATAAATTAGTTTCTTTTTTGTTATTTACCATTTTCAAATTCAAGATTTGAAATTAAAAATAATTTGTTTTTCTTTCCTAACAGGTGATTGATTCACTTTAAATTTGTGGAATTTGTTGCTGAGATGATATCGATAGGTTTTGTTGCTTTCTGTATCTAAATAATATCTATTATTATTACTATTATTATTATTATTACTATTATTATTATTATTACTATTATTATTATTATATAATAATAATAAAGTTACTCACTCATACATATATTTGTATGTATATATCTTAGCTTTAGCTATACGGCTGGACCAAATCGGCTGCATTTTTTTAATTGATTATATTTACCATCTTCTACATCTTCTTCTTCTTCTTCTTCTTCTTCATCTTCATCTTCTTTAATATCTGCAGGATTTTCAAGAGCAGAAACAGTTGATTCTTGTTCAGTATTCCAATTTAGCGCACTTTTAAAATAGTTTTGAATTCATTGACGACATTAAAACATATTTACTGTTAACGGTACTGTCTTTTTAATTTCAAGTAACCTTTCATTTAGAGAGGTACATGTCCGATTCACAACGATACCTTTTAATCTGTATCAGTTATATCGTCGATATCTAACTTGGAAAGTGATTGATTTTGAGCTTTTCCTCCTATTGTGTCTGTAGCAGAAATATGCAAATCACGTTTAGTAAAGAAAACAACAATTGAAATAATGAATTTTTAAAAAGAGAAACATTGATATCTTGATCTAATTATTAGACAACTCTTTTAAAGGTACCGCGTTGTGAATCAGATATGCCACTTTACTAATGGAGGGTCACTTGAAATTACAACTTTTAAAGATGTTGGCAAAAAGTACTAAAGCCTGTTTCATTTCACCTTAATGGGCTCTTTAAGCCAGTGCTTATAGTGTGTCCAATTAGTCTATTGAACATTATTAGGTTCCAAGGTTATTATTATATTATTATATTATTATATTATTATATTATTATTATTATATTATTATTAGGTTCCAAGTAAAATCAAAGAAATTTCATAAGTGTAAATTTTTCTTTCATTTAGCGTCTGTGTCAGTGTGTTTGGGGGGGGGGGGTCAGTATAAACCATCCCCTCTCGAGGAAGAATTGATATTAAACAGTTCACCTTTTATAAGAAAGAGCCATTTCTTTTGAGAAGTCCTTGTCCATTACGAGGATCCTGTAAACAATAAATTTGGGTTGTTTATTACAATTGGTCAGCTTAGGAACTAGATTTATTTAAAAAAAAACAATTTTTATAATTTTTCGTTTACAATAAAACAAGATCTTAAAGAGAATATAAGTGTAATATGAAGTGACCAAGATGTAAATGTCTGATTTACAAAGGTACCCTTGAAACCTGATCAAAAATGTGGAAGATACCTTCGTTTTTCTGACTCGATCGATAATTGTTTGATTCTGATGATTTCTCCAATGCCCCTTATAAGCGAGAAACAAATGATGGATATCTAATTCAATCTTGATCAGATCAAACAAAGCATTTAAGGCTCCGGGTACCGTTGAAATCGATAGGCATTTTTATCCTTGCATTAGTGGTGACATAAATTAAGCTTAACTTTCTAATAGAATGTAAACATTCCTAATAGAATGTAAACACTGTGATTTGTGACTCCTGTTTTCCTCTATAAAAACTCGGTGTTGATATTATTCGACAAGAAAGTAAAGAAAACGATTCCCACATTTTTTTGAAAATGTGTTTCATTCTGGGTTGAACTTTTCAGGATCTTGAGATTTGATTCTTCTGTACCACATTGGTCGGCGTTTATATTAATACAGCGTTGAAGAGTTTTCTTTTTAAGTTTTTATTTCTAACATGCTTCAAATTATAAGCTTTCAAGTAAACAAAAAAGTTGTTAATTGATATCCATGGCGGCTTGAAAGCTTGGTAAAAATTAAAAATAGAAAGTCGTCTTCATTGTATTATTTACGACGATGACTGTATGACGATTCAAAATCTCCTTGCATCCATCGTCTTTTACTTTCGAATTATATAAAAAGGTCAAAAATATATTAAAAAAGAAGTTTGTCTGACAAAAAATGCGCAAAAAAAATGTTAAGTTGCATTAACATGGCTTCTGAACTTTTAACAGATCAACGAAACTTTTTAACCTTAGAATCATTAAAAAAAGGGTTTTTCAACAATAAGTTTGCACAGTCCCTGAAAACCCGAATATAAATTCAAAATTTTTCACGGATTTTTTTTCATTTCTCTTTCAATTTTTTATGAAATATGAAATTTTGGAAAACAATGGAACTCTACATTTCCCCAAAATTTTAAAAATAAATAAAATTGGGTCTAAAATTTCAAATTTCAATGTTTTAAAAACATTTTAGAATTTTTTTCAAATTTTAATGTTCAAGAATATGTGGGACACAATCCAATACCCTACCAGAATAGAATTTTGGGACACCCTGTACAATATCCTACCAAGATATATTTTGGGATAACCTGTGCATGCCTACCAGCTTAAAGTTGCAAAGAAAACTAACGCGGCAAGAAACCACTTTTGGGGCGTAACCATCCTGAAAGAAAAAAACTGATAATTTTCAATCTTTGTCACTTATCATAATGTCGATCTGAACAAGCTAAAGAAAACTAATCTTTAAAAAATCGTTTTTTTTGTGGACAACATGCAGTTTAAATATCTATTCACAATAAAAACTACTTTTCTTTTTAAATCGTGGTTACCACACATGCAGAAATCCCGAGAGCTACAAAAAGTTGCATCAAATTTCAAGACCGGGTTGACTTTGAAGTGTTGTGCCACCTTGACCTTGGCTTTGATAACACTTTTTTTGTAAATTTCAAATCTAAACGCGCTTGTTTTTTTCTCTTTGTTTAAAAGAGTAATTGGGAAATACTGATAAAGTTTTGCTAGAGAGCAGCAATGCAAACTGTGAATTAGCGTGACCCAATAAAAGCACTATTTATACATTCCATCTGAATAAACGTATAGTATAATAAATGTCACCAAGCAGGGACAAACCTCACCCTCATTTCCCGAGGGAGAATACTCCCTCCTCTTCCCTCCTTAAGGGACTTTAAGTGTAATTTCAGGCGACCCTTCATGACCATAATCGATTCACAATGGTACTCTTAAAGGATTTGTCTAATCAAGTATGAATTAGATATCAATGTTTAGAATTTCAAAAACTGTTTATTTTCAATTATGGGTTCCCTACATAAGTGAGTATATCTGTCATATTTTTTATTCAGCTATTATAGGTTTCAAGGGTACTGTTGGGAATCGGGCATTGCCATCTTTCCGTGGATGTTCATTTGAAATTACACTACTTTTAGCCGTCTACTATAATATCTAGCTATCCCTGTATTTCACTGACACCTATACACTGCAAGGGATTGAGAAGAATATGTTTAAAAGTGCTGAATGGTCACAGATCAATTTGATCAAAACAAAAACAAGAATACAACTGATAAACTCTTAAAGTTAAAACAGTCAACGATAATTTTCCAATCGAAGATTAACATTACTATTTTTTAACCAAACATTTTAATTTTATCTTAGCGAGCGCTTCTTTCCCTTGAAATGGGCAAGGACAGTTTTTCGTTTTCATTCACATTCATTTAACGATGAAATAACGATTGTTAAATGTGTTTAACCCATGGCTTCAATATGTTTTCCCGCAGTAGAAATGCGCAGGTCACTTTTGCAGAGAATCCACAATTAAAAGTAATAATTTTTCAAAGTTATAAACATTGATATCTAATTCATTCTTGATAATTATTAAAACTACCGTTGTGAATCAGACCATTGCAATCTTTGTATGGAGTGTCACTTTAAATTTACAATGACAATCCCTTTAAGCATTATCCATTCTTGTCAAGATCTCGGTTCAGATACGGGGTCTCCTCTCAATATTTTGGAGTGTCCAACAAAAATCTTGAGGTCTCCGAAGAAAATTTTGAGGTCTCCAAAGATCATCATGGACATGTGAGTCAACAGTTCCACCTCCGCCCTCAGATAATGTTCCTCTCTAGATATCCTCCTATGCCCCTGAGAGGCATCTACAATTACTTGATGTAGGCTCTGCCAGGCGACATCTATCTGGCCCTCGATCCTTCTCCAGTTACTTATAACTACATCTATCCGGCCTCTATTTGGCTGGAGGCCCAGTCTCATCCACAGGAGGTTGTCCTCGTCTGCATCCTCGGGCCTATCCTCCGGGTCAGGGGGATCTACATTAGTATCCCCCGTCTTGGGGTCACCTTCTCCTGGCCCTCTTCTATCCAGATCATTCCCTCCTTCATCCACAGGTCTCTCAGACACATCAGTAGCAGGCAGGGCTGGAACTACAACCCCATGGTCTTCAGGGTCACCCTCTGGGGGCAGGATGATCGTAATCTCCCTTAAAGCTTTAGTAACCCTTTGTGGTATTGTTATTTACTTAGCTATTAATATACTTATAAACAATCGAGAATTAGTTATCTTTGTATATAGCTTTACTAAGCTATTTATCTTGCTTAGTGATATACAGCTATCTTATTTAGCTTTGCGGAGCTATTAACCTTGCGGAGATATATATTGTATTTAGCTATGCAGGATTATATATCCTTGCCTGTATATACTAAGATAGATATCTATAACTAGCTATTCAGAGTGAAATATATTTATCAGGCTATGTTAAGCTAATAGTCTGAGTTATGAATCGGTAATAGTTGGGAGCTGCACTTGACCTAAGGTAGAAGATTATATTAGGATTATAAGTCTTTCTACTAGGAAGGTTCTTTGTGCACTGAACCCTTTTGTTCAGATTTGTTTGATGAGCGGCAAGTATTCTCAATCCATTTTAGATTTACAACCAGGGAACAGGAATAACAGTATTAGAAAGACAAATTGATACGGTTAATCCTTACCTAGGTTATCCTTATCTTTCTTTCCTGATAAATATTGTGACTAAGTGCTAATCCAAGATAAAGTTCAGGGGATCATGTAGTTGTAATTAAAATGTAGCAAGAACCCAGTTCTCTAGTTTATAAAAGTGTTAATGTTTAAAACTAAATGGTTATGATCTAAATACACGTTAAACTAAAGTAAATGCACGTAAAGTAGAAATTTTAAAGCTTTTTTAATTATAACTGCTTTAATTGCTATTGAAAAAATAAATACTATGAAATTCTAATATGTAATTAGTGAACGCAGTCTTTATTTATAATATTAAACACGTTCATAATATATAACAAAAACAATTTAGAAATGCTTTGAGAAAAAATGACGACGTCCGACGAGGGGGGAAGTGCAGAAGTCCTCAATTGGTATCACTCCCACCCAAACGTGCATTGCGGTATGCGCGCTCCTCAACTGGTGATATCCACCACCTCAATTGGTAATCAGACAAGAACAGGGTAACAGTAAATCTTTTATTTCTTAGAAATAGACCATTGACCACTGTTAATGGCCCTATAGTGTACAATATTCTTAAAGGGAGTGTTCGCGAAAAATGAAAGGGGGTATAGGCTTAATGCGATAAAAAAGCACTTTTGATCGCTACTAATCTTACTTCTATCTGTTGCGTCTATAAGGAGAAAATTGTTAAAGACGTCTCATACTGAATAACTTAGCGCCCATAAAAATTCAGAAAATTGCAACATACAACAATTAGACTGTAAAAAATCAATTTAATTTCAAACAAATCATTCAGATATTACAACCTATAGTAATCGAGTATCTTTCGCCACATTTGTATATAGTTTATATTTTATAATATTTTTTAGTTAATTTGTTTTGCATTTGATTATTTCTCTTGTTGCTTGCGCAACTATCTAAGAATGCCGCGCACCACTCATATTTTTCGAAATCCGTTAAAACGTTTTCTAAAAAAATAAAATATTATAAAATATAAACTATATACAAATGTGGCGAAAGATACTCGATTACTATAGGTTGTAATATCTGAATGATTTGTTTGAAATTGAATTGATTTTTACGGTCTAAGTCATATGTTGCTATTTTATGAATTTGTATGGGCGCTAAGTTATTTGGAATGAGACGTCTTTAACAATTTTCTCCGCTCCTTATAGACGTAACAGATAGAAGTAAGATTGGGGGCGATCAAAAGCGCTTTTTTATCGCATTAATTGCCAATACCCCCTTTCATTTTTCGCAAACACTCCCTTTAAAGCTTAATTTATTGCTTCTCAATTTCGAATTAAATCTACAAATTTGCCACATGAAGCGCTAGAAATAAAATTACGTTTTTGAACCTTTGCGCATGCGTGCTCCTAAATAAGCAATGAAGTGTTAGAAAAATAATTAATGAACTTAATACTTCATTTTCACTAATGGCGCAATGAGACCAACTTTAGATTTGCACCTCCTAAAAAACCTGTACTAAGAAAAAAATTAAAGTTTAAAATCTATATTATTCTACATGACTCTTAGTCATCTGATAATAATTACCAATCATACCATTATAAAATCTAGTAGTGAAAGAGCAAAAAAACTTTTAAAAATATATTTTATTTTTTGTGTATATCGTATATCACAAATCATATTAATATCAATCATATTATGACTAAATTACACTGGACACAGTATTTTTTAAACAATACCTAAATCCGTATGAAGGTACCGCTTTGTGAGAGAAAAGATGTCCCAAAACATTGTTGATAAAAAATGTTCTCAAATTTCCCAATACAAATATTCCTTAAGTAATAAATAGGTCCGGTGGATGATGCTTGCATCTACATTATACATATTGATGATGAAGATTGTTCAATCCATGGGTTAAAATAATAAAAATAAAAGAAATTATGGAAAAAACATGCAGCTGTTTTGAGCCATTTAAAAGCGGGTTAATAATATCATTCCGTTCAAATGATATGGCCTTAGAATTAACAAAAATAATTAAAGGCATTAATAATGCTGCCTCCAAATTCAAGAACTCTTGGTTTGTTTGCAACAAACATTTTTAATATTTCCTCATTCGAAACCTGGTCCAGGATGTCGGAAATGGATTTTAAATGAAACCCCGCAAAAAAATTATTGCAAATAAGATTAAGGTACAAGAAAGAATTTGAGAAATTATCATAAAATGGACAAATTGATACATTGTCAATTGATAAGAAAAGAAAAAATCAGAATATATATGTAAGTCTAATATATTAGAGCCTACCTCTGGCTCTAATATATATGTAAGTCTAATATATTAGAGCCTACCTCTGGCTCTAGGGGGTGCATATGGGTACCGCCCCCCACACTACGAACCTTGTTTAATGTTAACTTTTATTTCTGATTACCAATTGAGGAGCGCGCATGCCGCAAAACACCTTTGGGCGGCAGTTATTACCAATTGAGGACTTCTGCTGCAATTAAGGTTTCCAATCGGAATTCCGTTGCGCGGAATTGCGCGGAATTCCTCGCAATGGTGGCTGCCTCTTGCGCTATTTCATTACGTGCATTTGCGCTACAATTGCAACAAAGTAAGCAATTAAATATTCGCAGAATTGCACGGAATTTCATGGAATTGCGCAGAATTGCGCGGAATTGCGTGCATCGGAATTGCTTTTCTATCTAAGACTCAATAATTTTAACTGTTAAATTTGCAAATTTATGCAGCAGATACAAGAATGAAATTAAATATCTCTGTTGATTTTGAAATAATCGAGGCCCGAGTGTCACTTGTTTCAAGAGTTTTCAAATTTTAAAGTTTCTTTTAGTTAAGCTACTAATTAACAATTTAATCTGATTCTTTTTTCATTTGTTCACATTGGATAAACATTAAAATGGAAACTTTTCTTGGTTCAAATTGTAAGGTTCGTTTAATCAAAATTAGATATTTTGCTACAGTGAGAACCAGAAAACTATGGTACAGAAAGACAACATCACAGTGTATTTGATGTAGTTACAAGTCAAACAAAATGAATTAGTAACTTATTAAATCACTTAACCAGTTACATGGGTCTGCTTGAGTCTAAACTGTCGTCTTCCTATGCCAGATTTTTCTGGTTTTCATGCTGCAAATGAATATTATAAAACAAAAGATTAAGTTTAAATTCAATTTTATCAGCACTTAAGACTTATTTGTTAGCGAAGTTCAGTTTATTGTATGCCACTACCAAAGTTTAAATTGAATATTTTGTTGTTGAAAGGAATTGTGCAATACTTAATTGCATTTATTGCGTGCTATAAGGTTTAAATTGAATTTTATCAAAAAATTGAAACGCAAGCGCAAGAAAGTTGGACGTAATTGCGCGCTATAGAGCGCAATTGCGCACAATTTCGTTGCGTTTATTTGCGCGCAATTATTACGGAATTGCGCGCAAGTAAAATCCACTTGCGTTGGAAACTCTAACTGCACTCCCCCTCTGTTCCAACTATGGAAAAGGACGGCACAAAATGCGCATGCCTTGTAAACAGATTTCAAATATAATTCATGGATATCATATTTTTGAAATATAAAGGGTTCAGAAATAACCAAAATCGTGTTTACCTCCGAATCATATTATTTGTGAATAAAAATGAAAAAAAAATATTCAAAATTGACGAAACGGAAAAATAAAAGCCGAACAAATTTATTTTTTCGGAGAAAAATATTCAAAATTAAAAATGGAAATTGCATTTTGTTGAATATTACACCAACTGTTTATATTTCGTATTTTTATTTTCTAAAAAGAACAGGTGTAAAAAGAACATTATTTTCTTTCTTTTAAATTTTTTCATAATACAAGTTCTCATTGATAAAGGAAACAAACAGCTCTTTATAATTTTTACACAGAAAAATATTTGATTTGTTCCAATTATATTATTGCGCTACCATTTTCTAGGGGAGATTTTAACCCTCTAACATTAAAATATAATAGCCATAGATAAAACAAAGGTTATAATGCAAGAAAAGTTATTTCAGAGGTGTACGCATCTTTTGTACTGCAGTGTACTATTTCTGGGCGGTAATGTAAACACAAGACGGATGTCGAAGCCTTACATGGGACCCATCTTTCACATAAAAAATCAATGAAATATTCTGGTCATAGGAAACTATTATGTGAATTATCAAACTTATCAAAATGTTATGCTTTTAACCTCATTGAATACAAAACGAACAATGAAGCATCTATTCTTATTTACAAATTCTGCCCAGAGAGAACTGGTTTCTATATGTACGTAGAATATACGCAACTGCAATTAATTTCCTTGCATTATAACGTTGGATAAAACAGTCAAGGGCGTACACAGAATAAAATCTAGGGGGTGGCCAAAAATTGTGCGAAGCGCAAAAATGTTTTTGTCCCCTCTAGGAGCTCTTGGGGTGGGGTGGGGGGGCAAAATTTGTACTATAAATTTAAAATATTTGACTTCTAGACGATCAGGCATACTTTTTTTTATGGGTTATAGTATTTTACGAAATTGTTTGTTATTGAAAATTGGTATCCATTCTTTTATATTGTAGTAGGGTTTCCAGTCGTAATTACGTTATGCGTAACACTTTTTAACACTTACGGAGAAGCATTACGCGAAATTACGTGCTAATTACGTACACAAAAGAAAGTCTAGTTTCGCGTAATTAATGCGTAATTACGCAAAATTACGTATACGAAACCGTTCCGTAATTAGTAAACCACATATTAATTCTCAGAAATGAATATACCGGGAAAATATGTGTAAGGATATGTGCGATACAGCCATGTCCAATCTGATTGGATAATTTAAATACTTTCAAATTGAATTAAAATTCGTTTATGGTGATGGACCAAACCTCTGTAGAGAAAAAAAAAGTAGATGTTAGAATTCCACATTTTATTGAAAATATATTTCGATCTAGGTTGACCCTTGCCAGTTCTCGTTATAATAACCATCAAAATCGATGTTAAGAACCACATGAAAACTCAAAATTTAAAAAAAATTATTTTTGATAAAGTTTTTAGACATTAAGTTTTAAAAATGCAATGTAAACTTACATGTAATTGTGATTTATGATATAATTATAATTATAATTATATGATATAAAGATAATTTTCTGACTCGACAATTGTTTTTTTTGCTTCTTATAAAAACCGTTGTAAATCGGGTATAGCCATCTTTGCATGGAGAGTCACTTCAAATTACGCTTACAGTCCTTTAATCGTTAAACACAGCAGACGTTAATAGTGTTGGACATGGCACGGGCAACGCCGAGTACCCGAGCATTTTAATTATGATTGAATCTAGTTTCGGTCTGCTAGAGGTTGTTTTCAAGTATTTTCAGATTTAATATTGCTTATTTCAGTAATATTCTTCAATAAACTGGGAAATATTAAAGGCAGTTAAATTGTTTCTAAGGTTTAAAAACATTCTGTTGTTTTACAACAAAACTCTGATATTTTAGTTTTGAAGCATTGAGCAATACGAAAAATAATGGGTGGGGGGTAATTGCATAGCTTAGAAAATACAAGGGGGGGGGGTTAATTTGATAGAGGGATTTAAAGGGACTTCAGACGTAATTTCAAGTCACCCTCCTTTTTCAAAATCCTCCAAATTGCATAGGTAAAGGAATAATCCCCCCAGGAACAGTGTAATTAGTATTACCCACTCCCTCGAATCCTAGTTTAATTCCCCTTCCAGCTCCCGTACTAGGAGATGTCAACGTTTTTCTTTTTTTCTAATCTCAGCTTTCGTTACGATAGTGTTCATCAAAAGTATAAACGTTTAAAACGTTACGTTGCACAGTATGACATTTTATGGCATAGACCAACGTTACGTAATGAATTTTCTGCACTTGAATACCTTACGTTAAGCTTCAGTACATGCTTGTGAAAAAAATAAGCTCCGTTACGCTTTTGCATTCCCTGTATTTTTTAAAAACTTTCCCAACGTTGCGCTAAAGCTTTAGAAATTTATCCACAATTTTCTAGCGTTCCACTTTCATACAAGGTAAATGTTTTTAGAGACCTTACGTTACACTTTCCCTTGGTTTGAAAAGTAAAAGGTGACAAACGTTTTGCTTTAATAACACATCATTTATGCATGAATTTCAGTGTTAACGTACCGTTTTATTTTAAAATTTCCAATATAGAATTTTTTTAAATTTCGTTTCGAAATTTCACTAAAATGCGACTTTTCTTACGTTGCGACTTATCGAATCGTTATTGTGGTAACCTTTATTTGTTAAACTATTTTACGACTGGAAATCAAGACTGTTTATTCATTTCGTTCAGGCCTTAAAGTTTCTTACATTACACTTCATAAAAAATAAAATGTTTCTAAATGAATGCATTACAAGATTTTTCTCCAAAATAATTTTTACTTTTATATTTTTCATCCTAAAACATGAACCATGCCAAAAAATTGAGTGTCATTAATTTTCTTTAATACTCACCTTGTATGTTGCTGTTGTATTTGTTAACCTTATATTAAAGAAGATGTAGAAGAATGCAGCAATTTAAAGATTTTGTTTAACATTATTATTATTTTTTAAAAATACAAGTAATTTTTAGCCTTCAACTCAAGTGGCGCGTCTTAAAGTGACTAAAGGTGTAGTTTCAAGTGACCTTCCATGTACAGAGCGACATGTCCAGCTTGCATTTGCAAGTTAGGAAAACGCTGATATTTTTTGTCATTGGGGGGAATCCCCTCAGCCTTATAAACAGCAAACTATTTTTGTCCTGTTCTTCAGTCTTCACTCTTCAGTTTAAGATTTGAAAAGTGTGATATTCAGTATAGCATTACATGACGTAAACCGGAAAAATTCCGAATTCTTTTACATTCGAAATTATCCAGAATTCCAATTTACGGAACAAATTTCCGAATCATTTCAATCCAAAATGGAAATTTTTTTCAGAATAATGGAAATCCTACTTCTCTCCCAGTAAGGCGTCTCACACAAAAAGTTTGACGTCTGTACTATACTCGGAGATGTGAAATATTCAAACTAACGTAACAACTTACTGCAACATATGGAGATATATTATAATGATACTTAATGAACCCTCTTAAAGTCATATTTACACTTGTTTACCTACCTTTTAAACAACAAAGATGACAAATTTACGTTAATTGTTTCTAATTGTTTTAAATCTGGAACATCTTTCTCACAAGAAAACATAAATGCCGCGTCGTCCCCATTCTTTAATTGATAGATCATTTTGTTAGGACAATTAGTCTTTAATCTTTATATATACTTTAAATAAGTTTTATTTTACATGAGAATAAATTAAAATCATGGCNGGGGGTCGGTGGGGTGGTGTAAAATAAAAAAGGAATTGAGTCTTTGCAACAAAATCAAATTTTCTAATCCCTATATTTTTAAACCTGATATTTTTGATAATTCAAATTTAGATTATTTGATCTAACAGAATTCATAATTCATAATTCATAAAAATAATAATAATAACCCTCTGCATTATGCACCATATAAATTAGGTTTGATTTTCAACTATAGTTGATAATAATACAGCTGGGCTTTACGCGTAAATTCAAGTGACCCTCCATGCAATGCTGTGAATGCCCGATTCACACTATTACCCTTAAAAGCTTTGCTTGATCAAGTATAAATTAGATATCAATGTTAATAACTTTTGAAGCAGTTCTATTTCAATTGTGGTTTCTTTAAAAAAGTTACTTGTGCATTTCTACTACAGGGAAACATATAGGAATTTTTAGAAATAAACTCTTTAAACCTTTACAAAAATGAGGCATTGCCCGCCATCTTTGCTTGGAAGGTTGCTTGAATTTACGCTTACAGTCCCTGAACTGTAACAATGGGACGAAGCGCCATTCATTTCTTCTTCTGCGACAGATAGAAGTTCAAGATTTGAAACAATTAGAAACATTTAAATCCAATTGGAGCATTATATTGCTTTATTTGCATGGGTAAACCAGTTTACGCAATAGAAGCATTCTATTGCTTTATTTGCAGGTAAACCAGTTGACACAATATCAGCATTCTATTGCTTTATTTGCAGGTAAACCAGTTTACCCAATAGGAGCATTCTATTGCTTTATTTGCAGGTAAACCAGTTTACGCCATAGGAGCATTCTATTGCTTTATTTGCAGGTAAACCAGTTTACGCCATAGGAGCATTCTATTGCTTTATTTGCAGGTAAACCAGTGTACGCCATAGGAGCATTCTATTGCTTTATTTGCATGTAAACCAGTGTATGCAAAAAGGACTTTTTAATTGAGATGTGTTGTGTTCATCGAGTACAATATACAATATTTGAATATACATAGTAAACATACACAGATGTTACAGATGTTACAACGTCAGTTTAAATACAGGACATCTCATATCACTAAGGGTGTCCCAGGAAATTCTTTAATACCAAAGAGAATAATAAAAAACATCGCTTGGTAGTAGTATTATAATAAAGTTGATTTCAAAGCAAAATATAATTGAGTATAAGATTTTTTAGCAAAATAAACTGCAAAAAGTCTTTAATATATTATACTTGATATGGGAAAAATTCAAAATTATTCCCCAACAGTCAGGTTTCGTAGAACACCCTGTATTAGATTATCTCTAGGCTTTAACGCCAAAATACGCACACAATACTCAAAAACCTAGTATTTTCTGCATGCACATCTTTAAATTAGCAATAAACAATTATTTTAAATTGTGATTTTCAAAAATCCAGCGACGTCATGCAAAATATATATATATATATATAGAACTTTATATTTAAATTTTAAATTGAAATAATGACGATTCCTTTTAATTTAAACTTCTAAACTTATTTTCACCAAAAATAAATCAATATTTCCTCTGAAATGGCTTATTTTTTAAAACATTATGAACAATAAAAATGATGCACCATAAGTTCATAACGAACGGCAAAAACCGTTAATTTTTTGATTGTTAACGAAACGAACGGTTGTGGCTCATTGCTGCCGGAAGACAAAAAAGATAATGTGTGGCATTGAAGGGGGCAATGGTGTGGCTGATGGCCGCCTGCCTTCCCCCGCTCTCTTGACTTCAGAGTTTTGACCTTCAGTGCAAGTAGTTTTAGATCACACAATTCCAAACACCCCCATTTTAATTTCTTCGCTTCTTCCATTTTTCTTACTTTCCTTCTCATACTGCATAAATCTGCATGTGACTTTATAGAGAACCAAAATTACAAATAATCAACTTTCAAAGAGAAAAACTAGAATACTTTTACTTAAAGTATGTCAAATGTACATTGTGCATATCAGAGGCAGAAACAGGGGGTGGCAAAAAATATCCCACTCCAGAATTGAAGAAACAAAAAATTGGTAATGCCTTTCCAGCTCTGGAATCCAACCTATTTTTTTCCTGTAAAGACTTGTGGTATTTAGAACATTTTTCCCATTTATGTTTTCTCCCAGACCCAGAGAACAGTGCAACGAGGTTATAGTATATAGAGTAATGATGTACGCTAATCCTTTACTAATTGCACAGGCCATGTACTTCACTTCCAAAGATCAATCAGCATATCACAGTACTCGGGGATGATTTTTGAAAATATTTATTTTCATTTAAGAAGGAAAAAGTTTTCAATCAAAAAACTCTGGGCTACATGGCTCTCGGTAATTTATGTAACTAAAAACTAGATAATCTTTCTTTATTTTCAATCACACTTTCAAAGGAAAACTTAACACACTAATAATTCAAACTAATATTGGAATATCTCACTAAAAATTGGTTACTTTAAAAGACTTTTATTCATAAATTGCCATACAATTGTTGTTTCAAGCATGAAAATACTTGATTTGAGAGCCCAGGGGATCCATCAATACTTGCACTCTAGTCTCTAAGCGTACTCTCATGTGGCAAACAGTTCCAAACAAACCTAAAAATAAAATATCAAACTATTGTTTTTTAACGATTACTAGACTAATCTTATATTTCAATTGTGAACGAGGGCGTAAATGGAGGTAAAATATGCGCAAAGCGAGAAAAAAACTTTGCCCCCCCCCCCAAGAGCTTCTAGGGGGGGGGCAAATTTAAACCGTAAATTCAAAACATTTGACTTTTTGGATACTTTAAAGGAACCCATGTACACTATACAGTCCAATTATCCTAAAGGACTACTTCATCTCTCCATCAAACAAAACTAGCAGAAAAAAAGCAAATTAATGTTTTTAATACTATTCACTCTAAAGTTTTAGATTGAAAAATTGTGATAGCTCTAAGTTCTATTGGGGGGGGGGGGGCTACGCCCCCCTGTATACGCCCTTGATTACGTACATTTTCTCTTTGCATACAGTTTTTGCTGACAGCTACAGCTGGTATCTTACAACATCTTAAGCTGTTATCTGCTGACAACTTTCCGTCCGGCATATGCACTAGTTGTTGACCGGGAAGTAATCCGCGAACTTGAATTTTGACGTCAGCGGTTTTAACTATTTGTACTTTTTGCTGGGGCGTTGCTTGAATCGGTGCTAATAGAATACAAGGAGGGGGCGATGGAATTCCCGTACTCGTTGCACGTTTTTGTATTGCTGAAGAACTAGTTTCTGTGTAACAACAATAACAAAGGCAGCCGATCTAATCAAGGAACTATATACAGGAACGCCCAACTCAGATATACGCATATTATGTACTGTACAATGTGGGAGCAATGTAAACAAACCCACATAAGTTGCAGGGAAATGACTAAAGCTCTGATGTGATATTGCAGTAAGCAGAGGCCATTAGTAGCTCCATGGTACTCTCTTGGATGGAATATTTTTGGCACGTAGTTTTAAGTGTATCCTGGCCGGAGATCTTCCACAGTTTTTTCAAGTTTTTTTTCGCTTTTGATGGTTGTAACATCTCTCTCTGTATTTCATTCCCATTTCCGCACTATCTTGGAGTTGAATAGTTTCTTGAGAATAAGGCAGGGCATACCATGGTCTTTCTTTATCACTTAGACATGAAAATCTGTAGGAACAGCCAAATCTATGGGTACAGCATTGTTCCATAACCTTTTACCACAGAGACTTCTATAGCATTTATTTTCAAAATGCCGACTGCATATCCGGCCAGGAGAATCTGTTTTCCATTTGACTATTGCAATCCACTGCTCTTTTAACGTGTGCAGGATTACATTTTCACAAGATGACGTACGATTGCAGTCTTTTACAGAGCAATATTTCATGGTTAGTATACGATTCTGATAAAACTGAGTAAAATTTAAGATACAAAACCTCCCCATACACTTGTACTCTGAAAGCGAAATGCATATTTGATGTGTGTACTGTATGATATAGGCCATAATCTCTTAATATCCCTTATCAGTAAACTGTCCTAGGTGTACACTTAGGCTAGACAGCGGCCCAGGTAGTTAACTATCATCCCCCCTGGAACAGTGTTAATATCTTTTTATGTCCAAATTACTTGTTTTTACATGTAAGACTTTGAATAGAAATTTACCAAATAAGGCAAAAAGTGCGTTGCAGCTGTGAAATACCATCCCTGTCCAAAATTACACAAAGACGTAATAAAGTTTAAAATGGAAATGGTCGTTTAAAGATAATCGAGAATTTTTAGAACAATCAGAATATATTGTACTAGCTTGGGAACCCAGCGCGCGCTGCCAAGGTTACTAAAGGTTACTCCCGCCGTTTACCCGCACTTGAACGATTTTACCTGGAAACTAAATTTTCGCTATGAAAGTCGACCCACTCAACTTAGAGTCTTAAAATTAAGCAAAAACATTCCCGTGGGTCTCCCGAGTTCCCCAATCAAAATTTGAGGCTAATATCAGCCAGGAGTTCCTGATTTATGATCGGACAAACAAACAGACATGACAGACAAACACAGATTACAACTTTATATATATTGTATATTTAAATATAATTGTTTCAGAGATTTCCAATGGCCGAGATACTAAAATGTTTATTTGCTTTACTTTGTTTAGCTACAACTGCTATGACTGGGTATGTGTTCCAGCTGGTTGGAAGACTTTTTGCAGCTTATTTCGTTAAACAAATCTTTTACTCAAATATAGATTTGTTTGAAATCAATTTTACTATGATATTACTGCCATTTATTATTTCTTATCATCATCTTTGGTATCAAACAACTTAACAAATTATGGAAGAAGACATTTTAAACTATTTACCAACTGTCATGTTTCCTGGGACACCCTGTATTTAGAAATATTTATAAACTAAAAAACCAAATTTAACATGTATTTAGTCTGGGCTTTCACGAAATACCTTGCTTTTGTACAAAGGTTATCTGCAAAGGATGAGACTTCAGCGACGACTATACGGAATTTATAATGTCTCTTTTATTTCTGTAACTATTAAAGTCTTTGATTCTATGCAAAATCATTACATAAACCATCTAAAGACCACATTTAAGGCAGAAGATCTGTTTTTAATGTAAAATCGTTGTATTTGAAGCGTTTTTAGTCGTCTTTACAGTCTCATTCTTTGTGGGAACCCTGTATGTTATTGTTACATGTAGTATACACTACCAGGCCTTTATGGGCCCATCTTCTATGTCAACTTCTTAGAGCAGGGGCGGCTTTTGATGTTTTCCAGGGGGGGGGGGGAAATGGAACCCCCCCTTGATTTTTTTTACAGGGAATTCGGTCAATTTTATGTCAAAACCATGATCAGCTGGGGGTGGAAGGTGGAAGGTAGAAAGTGAGTTTGCAAGATTTGGAATTTTTGAAAAATCTTCATTTTTAATGAAAAAGTGGCACCGCAGGAATTTTTTTTTTTATTGGATCAATTCTTTAAACATCAAAACTGATGGGCTAGAAGGTGTTTGCTCTCTCCTCTTGTGCTCCTAATTTTTCAAGGTGGTGGGTCGTCCGCCCCCAGTTTTCCAGGGAGGGACGTCCCCCCCAATTTTCCTGGGCCCCCCTCCCCCCCCTAAGCTTTTGTCTGTGAGCATCTTCTCTAGCTTTGTACAATATAAAACAATAAAAAAAGTTCGCGGATTCAAAAATGTTTTTTCTTGGATTTTTAAAATCTTACAAAAATCTAAATAGATGGAGACAAATTTTTCTAATTTTGAGCATTTTCTAATTTAGGCCCGATCTGTTCAGTCGTGTTGACGTTTATCGATTTCAAACAAACGAACAGACAAACAAAGTATTTATAGATGTAAAGGAGGGATTTGTTTTGAACATTCTGATTACACAACTGTGCACTGTGCAGTATTCTAGTGCGGATCAATCATTTATAAAAAAGATTTCATTATTTTCCTCATAATTTTCATTATTTTCCTCATAATTTTCATTATTTTCCTCATAATTTTCATTATTTTCCTCATAATTTTCATTATTTTCCTCATAATTTTCATTATTTTTAGATTTATGTTAATGGGAATTGACAGCGTAAAGTTCACCCAGTTTATAGTGGAATCATCTCAGAACTTTTCTATATCTGAGACAAAAACTTTTGAATTAGAATCAGGTAATGTAGTTGTCTAAAGCTGGTAAGCTAATGTCATAAAATATACAATAGCTTGTTTTAAGCCACATAGTAGGGGAATTTGAATATTTTATCCCATTTTGAGCAATATTATTAACCTTGTTCATCCCTACTCTTAAACTTGTTCTCCCAGAGAACAGTGTACGTATATTTTTCTTTGCCTTAGGGAGAGAAAGTGATTAATGTAATTTAGTATTTGTATTTAGAGTTTAGACATATTAATATTATCAACAACACAAATACTTATTAATTAATATTAAAAAGTAAAATCGGTTAATAATGTAATAATGTTGCTTATAGAATGGAATAAAGCTACTTATTTACTTATAGCGAGAATTTCCTTAGTAATATAATAATGATATAATATACTTTAATTATAATAATAATATACACACATTATTAATTAAAATCCAATATATGGATTGTATGAAAGAGAACGCAAGGTTGGTATTGTGTTCCGACACAATCAATATGAAAAGCTAATGGGTATTTATAGAAATAAAAATCTGAACACTTAATTTATATACTTTGATTGTCTGTCTATCTGTCTGTTTATTTGTTTGTATACAATGAACGTCAAAACGGCTGAACCGATCGGGCCCTAATTGTGAGTGGGGCCACACAACACCCCAGGGAAGGCGATGATCGTATTTTCAAAAATTTGCCACTAACAAAATTGGAATTTTAAAAATTTTGAAAATCAATGAATTTTTTTTTAAATCCGCGAAATTTTTTGTTCCTTTTTGTTTTACAATGGATACTAAGAGAAAATGTTCAAAATTGAAATAGATGATGGGGGAAAAGCCTTGTTTAAAAACTGATTAAAACTTCAAAAGAATTAAGATATTTCTAAAACTAAATTGATCAAGCAAAATACACAATTTATTTTTGGCAAATTTCGCCAAGCTTTATTTGTAAAGAATGATAAGAATGCAAGCTGTAGTTGGCTTCCATTTTGTTAGAAAACATATATACTTTATTAGGAAATATTTTTTGAAACTATTGTGTACTTTATCACTCAAGGTTACTTCATAGTAAATTTTATTATATAGACGCGTACTATAAAGTGGTTATCGTGCTATAATGTTATATTGGCTGTATTTATAGTACCGCGGGAAAAAAAAGTTCATTGGTTGCACAACCATTTCATAAAATTATCAATTATCAATATTATTTTTGCACATTACAAAGTTTGTTAACTTAAAGCTTCTCTGTATCTAAATTTTTTTCGATAATGAGAATCTTTCTGTCGAAAAATTGTAAAGCAATGCGAACCAAAATAACAGTGTTATTAATTTCTAGATTGGGAACCCAGCGTTACCCAGGGTAGTCATAGTTAGTCCTACTGTTTGCCCGCCCTTTGTTGTAAATTATGACTTTAACTATTTTCCCGATTCACTCAATTTAGAATCTTAAACCCGTGGGTCTCCCGAGTTCCCCAATCAAAATTTGAGGCAAATCGGTCAAGGGGTTAATGAGTTATGATAGGACAAACTGGCAGACAGACAGAGAGACAAAGAGAGAGACAATATATATGATTTACAACTGCTTTACTGGAAAGTTAAGAGGATTTCACTTTACCACGGGTTCCCTGGACCAATTTTGCCTACAAAACCTCCATAGCATTCAGAGGGATGTTTTGTAAGCAAAATTGGAGAGAACCAGTGATTAAGTAAAATTTATGATCTCCTGAAAAAGTAGTACACAATTTTATCGTCTTTTGAGATGAAAATACAAGAATTTTTTCACGGAAACTTCTCAGGTGGTTATTTAACTTAACTATCCCATAGAGTGTAAAAAATAGTTAAAAGTTAACATTTGTTTTTAGAAACAGATTCTGTTACGAACTATAAATATCATCTTGGGAGTGAATTTGTCAAGTTCAAAGCAACTAAATCTCCACTCAGGAAAGTTAAAAACACGTTAAATTAAAATTATATATTTTTAAAAATAATTTATTTGATTTNAATAATAATAATAATAATAAAAATAACAATAATGATAATAATAAGAATGATAATAACAATAATAGTGATAATGATAAACAATAATTAAAGTATTTTAGGGTTTATGATACCTGGGGGAGTAGATGCACATTTTTGTATTTTATTAGCACAGAGGTATAAAATAAATTAAAAACAAGAGTTAAAGCTTATCTCTCTCCATTTGTAGAAGAAATATTCAGAAAAGTATACGCGGTAATTGTACATCAGACAAATATTTATTTTAAAAATGAAGTAGAGTCTGCAAAGCATGTATAATCATATGGTAGGGCGGGCCGCGTCAGTTGTATCTATTCCTTACACCTTGGTTGTTTACAATAATCTCACAGAAGGGAATAATTCATTTGGTGTACCGTCCAGTTTTGCAATCTATAGTCTGTATGCAATATACATACATTTCACTTGTTCTAGCTGCTTTTATATCGGTCTGGTGCTTCAAATGAATGTGAGATTTAACAAAATAGCACCATGGTTACTTTACAGCACAGCTATAATAAAAATGACCATGAAGTGACCATGAATGATAAAGTACATGATGGTTTCATAAACGGATTATCGTTTAAGAGTATTCGATTTATTATCGTCATTCTTAAAATATTTTGTAAAGGAAAAAAATTTTAATTTGTAAATTTTAAAAAATACAAGTTATATTTCAAATTTTTATTCAACTACAAAGCACGAGATAATACAAATAACAATCACAATTTACTATGTAGTTTGGACCCGCCTAAACAGAGTTGGTTGTTTTAATTAGTTGGCCCATTATAAGCGAAAAAGAATTGTAAATAAATAGATGGATGTACACTGTACAGTTTACATATATTTTAATTATTTAGTCTGAAGACGGAGATCATGGTTTACCTGTTCTACATAATCCGGCCGAGGTACTGCAAACTAAATAATTCTACGGATTATATCTTTCTCAATAACCATGATAAAAGACGATCTCGAAATCTTTACTCAATTTTCATGTTAATTGGAACACCCGCCTGCATATAAAGATTGTCTCAAAAAAAAACTGTGCAGTAGAGATATTAGTAACTGAGGAAACAATTTTCGTTCATTTTTTACGATCAAGGTGTCATTCGAAAGCTCTATAATTCAGCTATTTCATGATGTAAAAGTTTTACTTCTAGGCCTCATCATGAAATAACTGAAATATAGAGCTTTCGAATTACACCTTGATCGTAATAATTGAACGAAAATTGTTTCCTCAATTACTAAAACCCCTACTGCACAGTTTTTTTGACACCCTGTATAAGCATTTCTTGACCGAATTGAAAAAAAAACTTATCATGTAAACTTGATGAAACAGAACATTTTTTTGTCAGGAAAATTATGGAAATCTTTGGTCTAAAACTAAATATGGATTCCAGTTTGCATTCGATTATCTCCTAGATCAGGTTTATTTATATACTCACTACTGAGTTCATTTAAAACAGGGGTGTTATAGTGTATACAGACATTTTCCCGGGGGTGGGGGGTCAGTCGAGGGCTGATTCACCCCTCGGGATAGGTCCCCGTACGCCCCCCTGGCTTATTTATATAGAGAGCTATTTCTAGAATTCATTAAAAAAGATTAAACTTATTGTTTAAAATTCGTTTAAACCTTCCGATCGTTATTAAACCATATTGTTTTTGGCCAGATCCACACTTAAAAAATGTTATTTCAATTTTATGAAAGAAGAAGACGACATTTTTCATCCTCCCTGTAAAAAAGTTAATTTAACAATGAGAAGAACTTAATAAGGTGTTAACTGTTTGTATCCAGGAACTTTCTAGCTGAGGAACTTCATACAATGCTGTGTTCCATCTTAAACCCCACATTAGCCCCATTCCGTCCAGGGGGGGGGGGGGCAAAATTATACTTTTATCATTTTTCCCCCTCCATGATTAAATCCTTTATACGCCCCAGTAACGATCGTTACAATTTACCAGATTCCTTGACCATAAAAATTTATCTCTTTTACATCATTGTATTACAAAAATAAGTAAAAAAAATTTTGATCTTCAAAAATATTTTTGAAAGTTTTTCAGTTTATTTTGTTACTAGGTGGATTGGGTGATGAAAGCTGATGATGATACATATGTTATAATGGAAAATCTTCATAATATGCTCGGTAATGATTAAAAAGCTTTCAAACAAGTTTACTGGTCAGAAACGAGTGCTGTTCCCAAGGTCAAATAAAATATATGGCAATGAACACAGCTTATTTGTTAAGTTTGAACATATAGTGAGAGGTAGTTTGAACTTCTAAAGTCTTAAGAAATTGCCTTATATACAGGGTGTCCCACGAAACATGACAGTTGGTAAATAGTTTAAAATGTGTTCTTCCATAATTTGTTAAGTTGTTTGATACCAAAGAGAATATTAAAAAATATTACATGGCATTCATAAAATAATAAATTTGATTTCTAAGTAAAACATATTTGAGTAAGAGAATTTTTAATGAAATAAACTGCAAAAAGTGTTTAATATATTATAACGTATATGGAAGAAGACATTCAAAACGATTCACCAACTGTCATGTTTCGTGGGACACCCTGTACCTGCTTTAAAAGCATTGTTATAAAGATTTACACCATCTATAGCCATCAGGCTGCAAAGAAAAATGGTTTAGAAAATTTAAGTTTGTGGTAAAGACTCAATTCTTTTCATCAAACTTAATAAAATTTTGAATTTTTTTATTTGATCTCTATAATTTAAATAAACATGATGATCTGCCCTGTCCTTTTTTGTGAATAATTTCTAAAAATGTGGTCTAAACATTTTTATACCTTTAAAATCGACGGAAATAATGAGAAATTTGGACAGAGTAAACAATATTTGAAAACCCAATTAGACGTAAGTCTTGTTTAAAACACTTTAAAATAATTTTTCAACTTTCAGAAATCTAAGATGATCTTAAAGTCGTCATTTTAATAAACATTTTTTGGCAAACCAGTACAACATTATTACCAACATAATTATATTTTAGCTCAACATGATCCGGAATTCCCAACTTTTTTTGGACAACATTTTGGTATAAGCGTTGATCAAGGATATATGAGTGGAGGCTCAGGATATATTCTTTCAAGGTAGGATTTTATGAATGATTTGAGTCGTACAGGGTGTCCCACGAAGCATGACTTGAAAATTGCCTTGCATCTTTGAAATAAATTGTGGCATTTTTTTGTAAACATAATTTTTTAAGTATTGTAAACCCAACCAGGGTTCATACCTATGTACTATGTACATAATCTCATCCCAGTCAGAGAAATGATTCATAAACAAATGCAATCTAAGAATAAAGCCAAACAAAAAGGGTATTGAACTCTTGGCTTATTAATGTTGAATTCTTTTCAAGTCTATAGTATAATAATAGAGTTAATAATAAAAAGATAACCTTTTATGTGTGTTCGATATTGTAACCCTCCCCCCCCCCCCCCCCTCCCTGCGGAAGATTGGTATAGAGCATGATGGAAAATTCTTCAGCACAAATCAACCCAAACCCTGCTCCAGCCGCCCTATCTAGTGTTGCCCCCCACAGGGCCTGACCAGCTAGCTGGCCCTAGGACTAAGAAATCGCGGGATCTGGGTTTAGAACACAGAGAGGGAAGGAGAAAGAAAGAAGCCCTGCCAGTTGTGCATCAGTCCTCAGAGAGTATAGGATGAAGTAATTCGCCAACTCCCTATACAGTTGTAGGATACTCAATCCACTGGGAACTGCTGGGTTGCATCAGAGCTGTAGGATACTCAATCCACTGGGAACTGCTGGGTTGCATCAGAGCTGTGGGAAAAAACCAGATTACTCTGGTTAAGGCTCTTGTTAAAGGAAGAGTCTTAAAACTCTGGTTAAAGAAGAGTCTTGGAACTGAGATTCTAAATAGAGAAGAGCACAGAAGTTGTCCCTCTGAATAAAGTAGGCAGGGAGAATGGATTCCTCTGTCTTGTAAGAAGATTCCAGGAAACCAAATCTGTGGATCTGATTGAGACTGTAGTAGCAGTATACCTACATAGCTAATTTAGTTCATTGTTTTATAGTTTTATACAACTTTGTAACCTATTTCCTATTATACTTTTGATATAACTGTTCAACTACTTTGTCTTTTATTGGTGTTAGACTATATTCGTCTAGACTCTAGAGTATTGTTACCCCCTTTGGGGTTTATCCTTTCAAGTAAAACAATATTACTAAAGAAGAATTCTGTTCAGATTTCGAAAAGTTTTTTTAAACTAAATATTTGTTATTTTTCGCTAGGCTATTTGTTCTAACAATGAAGTTATATATCACAATTTTTAATGTACGGAAGTAGATTACATTTATATATTTCACTATACTAAATATCGACAAGTTTAAGACAAACAATAGCAAGAATTAATTAGTAATTAAACTCAGTGCATATGAGCTAAAAATTTGATAATTAAATATGACGTTTGAATCGTTTCAACAATAACCAAAAAACTTATTAATTGTAAACAAGTAAGGTTGGAGTAGAAACTGGAAAAGTGAAAACAACATTTTCAGCGTTTTAACATATAGCTGCTCGCAATCAGCGACGACATTATATAGCAGATTTAATTGTTCTAAGTCATATAATTAAGGCCAAAAGAAAGATTTCCCGGTAATTTTTATTCAGTACGATTAGTCAGATTAAAATATGTGGAGACAAAGTTGGGAAGGATAGGATGAAGTTTATTCAGTACGATTAGTCAGATTAAAATATGTGGAGACAAAGTTGGGAAGGATAGGATGAAGTTTATTCAGTACGATAAGTCAGATTAAAATATGTGGAGACAAAGTTGGGAAGGATAGGATGAAGTTTATTCAGTAGGATTAGTCAGATTAAAACATGTGGAGACAAAGTTGGGAAGGATAGGATGAAGTTTATGCTGTATTATGAATCTTGAGATTTCGAAAAGTTAAATAATTGAATCCTGAACGCAATTCTTGATATTTCTGGCAAAAAAAAGAAGACCAATTTTTAGAAATGCCAGAACTTGAAAAATATGTAAAAGTAGGTTGTTGGCAAATGATTGCCTCTAATAAAATCAAAGTCGTATTTCAAGTCGTCGTTCTACTCTCAAGTTTGGTGGACAACATGTATTTTCCAAATTACCTTAATTAATTTTTAATATTTAATCAGCTTTCTTCTGCAAGATTCAGTTTTGCACCTTGAAGGATCTGTGAGTCTAAAATAGACGTACTTAAAGTACTTTAAAGGAACTGTAGAGTATAGAATAGACGTACTTAAAGTACTTTAAAGGAACTGTAGAGTCTGGAATAGACGTATGGATGATCATGAGTAAAAATAAAACACAAATATTTTAATTTTATTTTTTCTGATGTTTGGTGATTAGTCAAAAATTTGTTTTAAATGTCCCATTTTGTATTGTTATATTTGAAAACATAAAACTGTTTTTATTTAACAAGAAGATATTTTCAAACATAATTTTTTCTTTTAATTCAGTTTTTTATTTGTCCAGGAAAGCTGTAGAGATACTGGTTACAAAAGCATTCACCAACAGTAGTTTATGCAGGGGTAAACAATGGAACATAAAATTTATATGTTTTTTTGTGTGACAAATTCGAGATCAAACTCCTAACACTCATACAAACTCCTGAAAGACAAACTCCTGAAAGAAAAATTCCTGAAAAACTAAATATAAATACGTGAAATGATACTTCTAAATGACAAAACTTCTGTAAATGAGTTTTTGTCACAAACTCAAATTTTCTAATGCTTATATCTTGCCAACCTTATTGTGTAAACCTTTTATATTTCAAACTTAGATCACTTTAACTAACACAATTCATAGTTTGAAATATCTAAAGTCTACGACATTGGGTTCTGAAGATATAGGGATTTAAAATTCAGAGTTTGTGGCAAAGACTCCTTTGTCGAGAAAACTTGAAGAAGTGTTAATAAATTTTATTTATTAAACATCTTAAAATCAAAACCTTTAAACAAAATCTTTTTATTAATAATTTAAAGTTCCACTGTTTACTCTCGGCATATAGAAAACGATGTAAGTAAACTATTTTATAAATGTATAATTATTCCGTTTTTCCATTTATGACATTCTTTCCACATTCTTGACATTCTTGACATTCTTGACATTCTTGACATTCTTGACATTCAAACCCAATTTCGAAGCTTTGTTTTTTTGTCTAGCTGTGAAATCTATTCTGTATATCTTTCATTTATGACAAATCGAGTAATAAAATTTTTTTTTTTGAAATCTTTATCTTATAGTCTACTTTTATTCTGTTCTATTAAATTGTATATCAATGAGATGTTTATTTATAAAACTGTCAATTTCATATCGTTACCAATTTAAAATACATTTGTATTTTTGGCAGCACAAAATATGTCAGCATATCAAATATTTTGTTTTACCAATAGAAGTACAAAGAATGACAATACAAACATTAGCACCTACAGGATGAGACTTTAAAGATCCTCTGACTTGTGGTCTTTAAACTCTTTAAATATCTTTTTCAATGATTTTGCAAACAAAGAAAGTAATTTAAAGTTTATTCAATGATTTTGCAAATTAGTTTATAGTTGGAGGGAATCATAAATATAAGGAAACAGAAGAAGTTCTGTACAGTCGTCTCTGAAGTCTCATCTGGGGGACCCAATTCCATTCTTGATTTAATAAAATAAATTCTGTAGTTTAGAATTTGGAAGTTAGAGCTCTCCCACATAAGTCTGCAATTTGATTTTCTTTAATATTATCTGAACTTGAATTTAGGATGGATGTGGATTTAATATTATCCGAACTTGAATTTAGGATGGATATGGATTAACTATTATCCGAACTTGAATTTAGGATGAATATGGATTTAATATTATCCTAATTTGAATTTATGATGGATATGGATTTAATATTATTTGAACTTGAATTTAGGATGGATGTGGATTTAATATTATCCGAACTTGAATTCAGGATGGATATGGATTTAATATTAGCCGAACTTGAATTTAGGATGGATATAGATTTAATATTATATCTGAACTTGAATTTAGGATGGATATGGATTTAATATTATCCGAACTTGAATTTAGGATCGATATGGATTTAATATTATCCTAACTTGAATTTATGATGGATATGGATTTAATATTATCCGAACTTGAATTCAGGATGGATATGGAATTATGGTTTTAATATTATTCGAACTTGAATTTACGATGGATATGGATTTAATATTATCCTAATTTGAATTTAGGATGGATATGGATTAAATATCAGCCGAACTTGAATTTAGGATGGATATGGATTTAATATTATCCGAACTTGAATTTAGGATAGATATGGATTTAATATTATCTGAACTTGAACTCAGGATGGATATGGATTTAATATTATCCGAACTTGAATTTAGGATGGATATGGATTTAGTATTATCCGAACTTGAATTTAGGATGGATATGGATTGAATATTATCAGAACTTGAATTCAGGATGGATATGGATTTAATATTATCCGAACTTGAATTGAGGATGGATATGGATTCAATATTATCCGAACTTGAATTCTGGATGGATATGGATTCAATATTATCTGAACTTAAATTCAGGATGGATATGGATTCAATATTATCCGAACTTGAATTGAGGATGGATATGGATTCAATATTATCCGAACTTGAATTCTGGATGGATATGGATTTAATATTATCTGAACTTGAATTCAGGATGGATATGAAGATGTGGAGATGGGATCGTGCCTCTCTAAAATAGGAGTTAAACCCTCAGATTCAAGAGATAAAAAGGTGAAGTATTTTTTGCGCAAACTTAAAGGGACAGTAAACGTAATTTTAAGCCCCCTCCCCCCTCCCCCCTCCCCATTTACAGAGTGGAATGTCCGATGTACAGAGCTACCCTACAAAGCTTTGTTTTATAAAGTATATGTTTTAATTTGATACTGATTAATTTCAATTGTGATTTCTCTAAAAAAAATACAATGATTCATCAGAATATTTTCCATATTATGGATCAGATAAAGGTTTCAAGAGTATCGTTGCGAATCGGGCATGTCTCTTTTTAAATGAAGGATCACTTGAAGGTACAACGACAGTTTTGAAATGTACATGATAAGCTACCAAGACATAACATATCAAAATTCAAAATGTTGGAAAATGTATCTCATAGAATCACAGTTTCCAGGGGCGTACACAGTAATTTGTCCAGGGGGAAGCTTAAATCAGTTTTCTTTCCAATGGGACTCAGCACCCGTTGGGGCCTAAAAGCTCCTGGACACCAAAGATTTTATTGATTTAGGGGGGGGGGGCGGAGCCCCCAAAATCTCCCCCTTGTGTACCCTACGACATAAAATTCAGTGATGGTGATGAACCAAACCTCTGTAGAGTAAAAAAGTAGATGTTAGTTCCACATTTATTGAAAATATATTTCGGTCTGGGTTGACCATCGTCAGTTCAAACGATATAATAACCATCAAAATTGATTAAAAAAATAAAAAAAATGTAAAAATCACAAGAATATAAACAAACAAAAAGATTATTCAAAATAAAAATTTGGGCTGTCAAATGGACATAAGGGAAAAGAACTCAGATTATGAGATGGGAAAAAGATAATTTGCAAATATTCACTTTCTAAAAAAATGTTTTTAGACAATTATTATTCCTTGAGATTGTTTCTTCACAAAGATTAAAAACAAACTGTGTAGATGTGTGAATATTGAGTTGGGGTGGGGGTCGATCTAATTAACGAACTTTTCCGTGAGTCGGGGGAGGGGGAGGGGGGCCTTCCTNTTGAACAGCTGATAAAACTTTGCTGGATTCTTGTCATCAGCCAGCATAGCTTTAAGTTCTTCAGTTGTGATGAAATTCTTATCAGCTGCAGTATCTAAAACAGACTTTATCTGTTTCTTTGTTTCTTCAACTTCCTTCTCTTCAACTTGTACATAGTACGGATTTAGTGTTCCATTCTCTTGCAGTTGTTGGTTAGAAAGTTCGTTCAGACAGGATTCCATATAACTCTCAAACTTCAGAATTATGATTCCTGCACCCTTATCACAAGGTTTTATAGTGATCACCCGGTTTCTCTGAAGACTGATCAACTCTTTAAGAGCTTTTAATTCTCCAGGAGGTAGGTTAGGTCTGATTTTATTTCTATTCTCTGGGTCTAGGATTTCTGATTTAACTGCATGACAAAACATTTTAAGCTCTTCTGGTGGTTTATGATTACGAGGAAGGTTAGTTTTTTCCTTTCTGAAGATTGAAGGTTGATATTCATGGTCGTCTTCCTGAGTGGCAAAAAACTCCCTCCAGCGAAGTTTCCTTTCAAATTTAGAAAAATCCACTAAAACCTGTGAAAGATTGAGAGATAATGGGGTAATAGCAAAGCTTAAACCTCTGTTGAGAAGATTTTCCATGTCTTGAGAAAGCTCTATACCAGAATAGTTAAAAACCACATTTAGCTTTTTCCTAGATTGTTTTCTTTTCAGTCTCTTACCCTATGACACTTTCCAAACCAAATACTGCATAGAGTGTGATTCTATATTATAAGCGTCAATAGGGAGGGAATCCCCGGACACATGAGCTTAAGCTATGCAGACACGAGCCTCCCAGATTTGCTAGGGAGCCCAAGCCTCAGCTGTGCAGTAATGAGGTTTCTTAAAGGTTGGGAGTATTTCTCAAGTATCATAAATAGTGCCTAATTATGACTAATAAAGTGCCAAATTAAAGTTTAAACTTTTTTTTAAACAAAAAGGAAAATATTTAGAGAAAAAATTTTAATTGAATTTCATTTCATCTTTTATAATCTTTGATTTAAGCAATACCTTTTTTGAAGTTCAATTTAAATTTAGAAAATTTGTATAATTTTTCTTAAATCTTAACATTTTTCAAAAATATCTTCCTTTCTGCGTAAGAAATGTTTAAAGTTTAGTATAATTCTTATAAACCACTTTATGAGTCCATATGTTTCTAATCATGACAATAAAGAGATGACTCTAATCTTTAGCAAATTCTTATGCCACTACGTCAAAAAAAGTTGTTAAAATTTTTCATTATACTTAAAAACCAAGATTAAAAAAAGCTGTGCTGTATGGTGGAGGCTCGTTTACTGCATAGCGAAGGCACGGTCTGCATAGCGGGGGCTTGGTCTGCATAGTGGAGGCTCGGTTTACCTAGCAAATCTGGGAGGCTCGTGTCTGCATAGCGAAGGCTCATGGCGTCCGGGTGTTCCCTCTCTCGCGTCATGAGGAAGAAGCGCTGCAATTTACTAAAATCTTCTTTTAAAGGGACTATTATTCTATTTTTTTGGTGAAATAGGGGAAAAAACTAACCCAATTAAACTGTTCAAAGATGTTATGTATCATTAAAGGGATAATGGATTTATGTGGAGGGGGGGGGGGGGGTCATAATCGTTTGAATTCATGTTACTTTAACCGGATTTGATAAAATCATAGAAATTTTCCGTTGATTTTAGAGAAATGAGGAAACATTTTTTCCCGCTCAACTATGGGATATGTTATCGGTTAGTAACACAAGCTGGCTTCAGACCTATATGTCCAAAAAACCAGTTGCAGGTAATTAAATATAACATTTCCACGTGAAATCTATTCATGAATGCAGTTCTAAGAGTTTAATGACTAATGGTTCTAAGAGTTTAATGATTAATAGTTTAAGAGTTTAATGATTAATGGTTCTAAGAGTTTAATGATTAATGATTCTAAGAGTTTGATGTTTAATGGTTCTAAGAGTTTAATGATTAATGGTTCGAAGAGTTTAATGATTAATGCTTCTAAGAGTTTGATGTTTAATGGTTCGAAGAGTTTAATGATTAATGGTTCTAAGAGTTTAATGATTATTGGTTCTAAGAGTTTGACGTTTAATGGTTCGAAGAGTTTAATGATTAATGGTTCTAAGAGTTTAATGATTAATGGTTCTAAGAGTTTGATGTTTAATGGTTCTAAGAGTTTAGTTTAATGATTAATGGTTTAAGGGTTTAATGATTAATGGTTCTAGGAGTTTGATAATAAACAATTCTCAGAGTTTAATAATAAACAGTTCTAAGAGTTTAATAACAAACAGTTCTAAGAGCTGGAGATGGATTTAATGATTTAAAATTAACAGTTTAAAGTGTTTAAAAATAAGCTTTTCTAGGAGTTTAATAATAAACAGTTCTGAGATTTTAATAATAAACAGTTCATAGAGTTTAATAATAAACAGTTCTAAGATTTAATAATTAACAGTTCTAAGACTTAAATAATAAACAGTTGTAAGAGTTAAATAATTAACAGTTCTACGAGTTTTATAATAAACAGTTGTAAGAGTTTGATAATTAACAGTTCTAAGACTTAAATGATAAACAGTTCTAAGAGTTATATAATTTACAGTTCTACGAGTTATATAATTTACAGTTCTACGAGTTTCATAGTTAACAGTTTTAAGAGTTTAAAGATAACAGTTCTAAGACTTATATGGTAAACAGTTCTAAGAGTAAAAAAATTAACAGCTCTAAGAGTTTAATAATTAACAGTTCTAAGATTTAAAAATTAACAGTTTAAAGAGTTTACGGATAATTGATAAATGATAAATGATTAAATCCGGATGAAAAATTATAGATCCAATTTTCTTTTCCAACCACTGTCAGTTTTCTTTTAAGGATTTGATTGCTGCAGTGAATATGCCATATCTTTCCATTATGTGACCCCTCAGAGGTAATTTTTAGATTTTTTAAATAATTTGTTTTTGTTTTTTAAAGGGATAGAGAATTATAGTCAAGCACTAGACTTTTCTCCATTTTGACAAAATGGCTAGGTTTCAAGCAGTTTACTAGGCTAGGTTTCAAGCAGTTTAACTTAGTTCTTTTATACTTTTACTCTTTTTTATTTTGTATTGACTGACTCCACAGGAGTAATTTTCAATTTTAAGAAGAAATTCTAATTTTTCAATTCAACTATTAAAGAAGAAGAAGTAAACTTTTACAAGGAGCTGGTTTAAGATATTTTAATGAAAATTTTAGAAAAGGAATTGAGTTTTTGCCACAAACTCAAAACTTCTGATCCCAATATCTTTGCAATCTGATGGTGCAAATTTTTGATATTTTAAACTTAGATTATTTTATCTATAAGTATTAAAAGTTTGAAATATCTAAGGTCTACGACATTGGGTTACAAAGAAATAGAGATTAGAAAATCAGAGTTTGTGGCAAAAACTCAATTCCTTTCAATTTGTTTATCCTTCTCTTAACTGAATTTAATAATTTAATAGAACAGCTTTCGTTTAACCATTTTTTTAAGCTCTCATTTAAAAAATAATTCTTGGTTAATTTGAACAGTTTTCAAATTGTTTAGGATGTACGAAATGGAATACGTTATTTACAAATTAAAGTAAGTAAAATTTTATTACTAAAATTGTAATAACTGTCTCAGAAGGTTTTTTAAATACAAAAGGTTAAAATTAACTTTTGTTTGAATATTATAGATTGGTTGACATTAAAGAAATTCGTGAGACTCTTCGGGAAAGACTAAAAGATGTTTCTAACTCTCCTTTACCATCTTAACCAAGATAATTAATAATTTACTCTCAGACAAATTAGAATCAATGGAAATTTAAACCCCTAAGGGATTCAATGATAAACCCGAGGGCGCATTCTTTTGTAAAATATTGTAAAATATATGTAAAATATTAAATATTAAACATACAGTTAATAAAAAATTTTTGGCACCCATAAAGATTCTTAGTTTTAAAGATTGTATAATTTTTAAAATGTATGTATCTGAAAATTTTGCGGATTCGAAAAGTTCATTTTTATATTATTTACCTTAAAATTTTCAAGCTGACTAAATATTTTAGTGAAGAGTTTAGATATAATTATCAATGGCAAGCTAGTAAAACAACGAAAAACTTCATAGATAAAGAACTAAACATTTGTTTCTCTTTTATTTTTATATCTAAGTGACCTGATGGTGTAACTGCAAACATTTGGTATTTTAAACATTTTGGTAATATTTATATATCTCTCAATTTATTTTAAATGTTTCCAATATTTTGAATTAAAAAGTTTTTTTTCAAATAATTTCTAATCTTTATTTGATCTGATTGAGTTGAAAGTTTGCAACATAGTTTTAAAAACTTGTTTGTATTGAATACATATTTTAATAATTTCCACACTAATGCTTCTTAATAAACTTAGAAAAGATTTTTTTATCTAATGATTTCTAATCCTGAGGGGGTCTTCATGAAGGAAGTAAAAATAAAAAGTATTATAAAGGGATTGTCCAGAATTTTGAATTTTTATGTTGCCCAGAGTTTTTTTTTCTTGAATTTTTTTTGTGTATGTGTTAAAATGATTGCATTAATTTTCGGTAATATCAGATACCATTGGAACAGAAGGGGGGGGGGGCATCGTGAATACTATTCCCATCCTTCATTCATAATCTGATTCAATTTAATAAAGAAATATTTAAATAAACCTAGACATCCGGGTTCATCTTCTCAATTAAACTACAACAAAAGAAGTTCTGATTTAAAACACATAAGATTTCAATCTAATATGCAATTTACTTCAGTTTGACGTGAAATATGCAATTTACTTCAGTTTGATGTGAAATATGCAATTTACTTCAGTTCGACGTGAAATATGCAATTTACTTCAGTTTGACGTGAAATATGCAATTTACTTAAGTTTGACGTGAAATATGCAATTTACTTCAGTTTGACGTGAAATATGCAATTTACTTAAGTTTGACGTGAAATATGCAATTTGCTGCAGTTTGACGTGAAATATGCAATTTACTTCAGTTTAACGTGAAATATGCAATTTACTTCAGTTTGACGTGAAATATGCAATTTACTTCAGTTTGACGCAGTTTGACGTGAAATATGCAATTTACTTCAGTTTAACGTGAAATTCTAGTTTTATCAATTCTCTTGCTTACTTTTTTAATCGTCTGTGCATGTGCTCAGTTAAATGTTTTAACATGAATTCCATTTTTATAAACGGAAAGGAAAATTTATGAACTTTTAAAATAAATTCAAAATGAATTTGAAACAGGAGACACTTGAGAAACTTAGAAATCATTCCACAGGAGAGATGATTTTAACATTTAACTGCGTTATTCTTAAATAATAAACAATATAGAATACAGGGTGTCCCAAAAAAACATGGGAATTCAGTGACGAATTCGATATCTTTTTTGTTATGCATTAGTATTGTAATACCTAATTTCAAAAGCCATAATATTATTATGTCTGCTAGAGTTTATTTTATGAAAAGGGTAAAAGACTGTAAAGATGTAACTATAATAACGTCTCCGCAAGATGAATAGTGAAGACGGACAAGTTTACTCTGTTTGTATACTGCAATTTTCTTGTTTTACTAAGTACAAACGTATGCAGTCAAAACATAAACAAACAAAATGTGAACATAGCAGACGAAACTCTTACAGATTACAGCTTTCGCAGTAGGTATCACTATACTAAATCAAAGAATTATTTTAAAAGACGATATCGAATTCGTCACTGAATTCCCATGTTTATTGGACACCCTGTAGTAATGGATTAATATAGTTCTTGTCCACATAGATCCAGACTGCTATGAAAAATTGCATCAATTGCATCACTTTTGGATTTTATCTCATGTTCATTGAGTTTTGCATGAAAGCTGTGCGTGTCAAAAATTCCGATTTTTAAATCCCTTTTGGCAATTCGATGTTTTTGTTGTTACTTTCAAACCATGAATTCTGTTAGATCAGATAGTCTAAGTTTGAAATATCAAAGGTTTACAGGTTTGTGGTGACAATAAGTCAGTTTCTTTATATGATGTCTGTCTCTGTTTATTTGTTTGTTTGTATAAGAAAACACGTAAAAATCGGCTAAACCGATCAGACCAAACTTTTAATCTACAGGGTGTCCCACATCATAAAGGATCTTTAATGGCTCAAATTACGATTTTTGGGACTAATCAGAAAATTTAAGATTTATGTGCGTATTATGTGCGTATTTTGGCGTTAAAGCAGGGAAATAATTTAATATGATGTGGGGGGGACGCTCTCTGTATATTTTAAAGCTCTTCGCTCATATATATATAACTATATGTACAGTCGTCGTCGCATAGATCCACCACTAATTTATATTGAATATAGTGTAAACAATAAATTTGTAACTTTCCTTATCCTTTCCTTTCCTTTTCCTTTTATTTCTATTTTTATATTTTTTTAGAATTGGGGGGAAATATTCCCACAACCTCTACTTTTAGAGGTTTTTAAATATTTTCTCCTGAAACACTTTAATTTGTATGTTTTTGTTATATTTCATAAATAAATTATCTTTTACTTTTTACTTTACTTTAGATCAATACAACGAAGACGACTTTCGATTTAAATTTTGATTTATATCAAGCTTTAAAACAGCATGCATGGATACACATAAAATACTCCTGTTGAGGAAATAACTAGATTATATGCCTGAAAAGCATGAAGTCGACAAGGAATATTAAATCTTGTCAACAAAGAATTTAAGAGATTCAAAACTAAATATTTAAATTATTTGTAAGATAGTATACACTGGGATAGTTGTACATCTTAGGAGCTTTCCAAAATGTGGATATATACCTTCTTTGTATTTGACAAATGATACTTATTTAGAAAATTGACAAAATAATATAAACTATATACAAATGTGGCGAAAGATAATCGATGACTATAGGTTGTAATATCTGAATGATTTGTTTGAAATTAAATTGATTTTTTTACGGTCTAAGTCGTAGGTCGCAATTTTCTGAATTTGTATGGGCGCTAAGTTATTCGGTATGAGACGTCTTTAACAATTTTCTCTTTATAGACGCAACAGATAGAAGTAAGATTAGTAGCGATCAAAAGCGCTTTTTTATCGCGAACACTCCCTTTAACATTTTTCCTTTATCGATTTAATAAATAACTAGCTCTTGAAAAATGTTAAAATGTTTGGAAAATAATTATGAAAATCTAAGAACTTATTTTCCACGAAAATAATCGAAATTTTTGTTCCGGTGACTCTAAAATTAATTCTAAAATAAATAATTTCAATCAAAATTTCATAAATTTGGTTTTTCGGTATTCAACAATTTTCATTTAATCCCGCCCCTTTTAATCGATTTAATATTTACAAAGGAATATTTACAAATATTTACAAAGGAATGTCATTTAATCTCAAACAAATAAAAATCAATGGAAATTTAAACCCCCGAGGGATTCAATGATAAACCCGAGGGCGCAGGTAAATGATACATTTTCTGAAACCTCTAAAGGCTTTCAATATTTAATGCAGAGATAAAAAAGCAAACAATATTTTGTTTTTTTTGTTGACCAACCCTGTTTTTCGTTTTGATAATAACTCTAGCACTGACAAGAAATAAAATATATGCCTTTGTGATTATTTATTGAAAAGAGTTACTGCACACAAACTGAAGTGTTGTCAAAATATTTGAATTATAATAAAAGGTCTGCCTCTATAATACTACCCCCTGTCCTTGTATAACATTGATAGATAAACATGGTTCTGGAGAATACATATTTAAACAATTATTTTATTATTTGTTTATCAGCAGGTTAGGAACTCTCATACAGTTAATCTAAACATAATAATTCAAAATTATTAATGATAATTAAGAATGCATCTTATGAGTTATAAGGAACAAAAAAATCTTGTATTTAGGAACAGGTTAAAGTGAAACGTAAAAAGTTAACAGAATGTAAATATTTAAACCGAGTTGAAAACGAGTAAAAAAATTTATAAAATTTTAAAAACTTTTTTATGGCGAATTTTTACTTGCAATTTCATGATCTTGGGTTTAAAAAGTAGCGAAAAATCAAGCAAAAAAATATATTTTTCTGCAAAATAACACAATGAATATATTATTTTATCTATTTATAAAAGCAAGATTTTACGAAGAATGTGCTAAACTTCTCTGATTCTAGCTGAACCTCGTAAAATCCAAAAGAATGTTAAAAATCATATCAATAGATCACTCCTCACTAAATTAAAGGAGGTGCAGGGGGAGGGGGGGTTCTGAAATTATCTTGTTTTTATAAATAAAAAAGTTTCTAAAGAGCACTTTGTACAATATTTGTGTCTTTCTGAATGAACTGAAGAGACACTTCTGTAAAATTAAGTTTTGTTCAGAAGATTAGATTTGAAAGACATATTTGTCGTCTAATGGGAAGAAAGGATAAATGTCATGGTTTACAAGAAACTGGATATTACAACTAAAGGGACTGTACATACCAACCTCTAATAATATTAAAACTAAAGGGACTGTACATACTAACCACTAATAATATTACAACTAAAGGTACTGTACATACCAACCTCTAATAATATTACAACTAAAGGGACTGTACATACCAACCTCTAATAATATTACAAGGTACTGTACATACCAACCTCTAATAATATTACAACTAAAGGGACTGTACATACCAACCTCTAATAATATTACAACTAAAGGTACTGTATATACCAACCTCTAATAATATTACAACTAAAGGTACTGTACATACCAACCTCTAATAATATTACAACTAAAGGTACTGTATATACCAACCTCTAATAATATTACAACTAAAGGTACTGTACATAGCAACCTCTAATAATATTACAACTATAGGTACTGTACATACCAACCTCTAATAATATTACAACTAAAGGTACTGTACATACCAACCTCTAATAATATTACAACTAAAGGTACTGTACATACCAACCTCTAATGATATTACAACTAAAGGTACTGTACATACCAACCTCTAATAATATTACAACTAAAAGGACTGTACATACCAACCTTTAATAACATTACAACTAAAGGTACTGTTTATACCAACCTCTAATAATATTACAACTAAAGGTACTGTACATACCAACCTCTAATAATATTACAACTAAAGGTACTGTATATACCAACCTCTAATAATATTGCAACTAATGGTACTGTACATACCAACCTCTAATAATATTACAACTAAAGGTACTGTACATACCAACCTCTTAAATATAAAACCCGGACCTCTAATAAAATATTAATGTACAACATTTTTCATTCTTCCTTTGAAGGAATATTTAATTATATTTAAAAATGAAATAAAATTACCAAGTTGTTAATGCTTGCCCTGTTACAATCATGTGTTTACACCAAGAAGTTTGGAATCCTAAATAATAAATAAAGAGAATTGCATTATGGTTATAAATTTTACATTTCTAGGGCTACAAAAAGTGTAAGTGAATGGGTGAGGCAAATTCAAAGGCTTAGGCGTTGCGACACTTGAAAGTTGACCCAGTCTTGACTCTATCTGGCAGTCTCTATATATTTGTGAGCTCTTCCTTCTACACTTTTAAGATAGCTTTCTGCACACTGTTATAAAAATCCTAACATGTGTTCAAAAATGCGAATATTTTGCTATGGTTTTGAAAATGTATTAGATATCCCAACCAATTTGTTTAAAGTTTCAAACTAATTTTTGTAATTTCGCAATTATCAGTATTTGACATTAAGAAGAAAATGATTGTCGGAAAATGTGAGCCCCTTATTTATAATATCTTCATCACTCATGCCTTTGATTAATTATCATCTATTATCAATTATCTAGTAAGAAAATATTGTATTGATTTTTCTGATATTTGGGCCTTCTTGGGGTTAAAATGTAAACAAACATAATTTGTAAACAAATAAACCTGTATTCTTGCTGCTGGTCCAGAAAGAATGGATTTCCTCGTTTACCAAACCTAAAAAGAAATCGAGTTTTGACTCAAAATCAAATTTTCTAAATCCTATATCTTTGCAACCCACTGGTGCAAACCTTTAATGTTTTTAACTTTGACTATTATACTATCAGAATTCTTAGTTTGAAACATCAAAGGTCTACGACATCAGGTTGCAAAGATTGAACAAATTGGGTTTGAGGCAAATGTTTATTTCCTTAATAATATTTTCATGAATAATATCAAACATAAAAATGAAAAATATCATGAAAAGTATCAAAAATAAAATGTTTTAAAATTAGAATATAATATTTATCACTACAATTCTTAAATGGCGCTTCGTTCCCTTATTGGTAGTAATAATCCAGCTTTTTGCGGCGCGTTTATCTTTTCTTTTCGTGAAGTTTAGTTAAATGATAAAAAATAATCTTGCAAAGTTTTCTATTTCATTTGTTTATTTGCTAAATTTTCATAAAAGTTTTGTTTTATGTTGACCAACCGTAAACCTTGGAATCATATATGTTACCACAAGAAAAGGCCCAATCGGTTCAGCCGGCCGTTTTGACGTTTAATAGATCAAAACAGACAAGCCAAATATATATATATATATATTTATAAATAAAGTTTATTTTGTTACCTAGGCCTGCCTGCAAACCCCATGCATGTCACCATTGAGGGATAATACAACTCGGGATCCCCTCCTGGATAATAATAATAATAATAATTGTTGCGCTAGCACACGCTGCGTAGTCGGAGTCTATGAAGTATCCCTGTTTTTTTTACAGGGAGGAACTATTTATCCTGTGGCCGAATTTAACGAAATACGGCACGGTACTAGAATTTTTGTATAACCCAGGGCAACGCCAGTTGCGAAACAACAACAACAACAATAATAATATTAATAAAAAATAAAAGTAATATACCTGAGTTTTGTTCCAAACACTTTAAGAATGCTGGATCTCGAAGCATAGCGTCTAGAAAACATGAATGTATTCTAGAAATTATTCCAAAGTTAAGATCATCATTTTGAAAAATGGATGATGCTAAATAACTTGGTTTGATCTAATCTCTACTTTGGGCGAGAAGCACTTTTTTATTTTCTAATTTAGATATTTTATACGAAGTTGAGCTAACTTATTTCTTTGATCCAGCTCCCCATGCTACCTAATTATGGACTAGCGTGCACCCCCATCCTGTTTAATGAATTAAAGCACTGTGGTGACCTATCTCTGCTACCTGACGATGGACTAGCGTGGGTACCCAGAGACATAAGGAGCATGGAGAGTATCAGACCCCGGAGCATTTCTAAAATAGAATTATTAATTTTAAATAAGAAAGAAACTAATGACTCGTCACAAACTCTATATTTTATCCTTTTATCCAGGAATATTCTGATACAGACAGGAATATTCTGATACAGACAGGAATATTCTGATACAGACAGGAATATTCTGATACAGACAGGAATATTCTGATACAGACAGGAATATTCTGATACAGACAGGAATATTCTGATACAGACAGGAATATTCTGATACAGACAGGAATATTCTGATACAGACAGGAATATTCTGATACAGACACGAATATTCTGATACAGGCAGGGAATAGGATGTAATTTTCTCTAATTAGTCTCGTGGATTTTTAGTGAATAAACCACTAAATGGAATCATAATGTTTTCCAGATTATATTGAATGAACGTTTTTCATAATTAATTCTACATTTGTGGACAGGGTGACCCACTGAATATGAGGCAAACAGACTTACAGGTACTGTAGTTGTAATTTCAAGTAATCTTTTTTGACATTGGCAACAATACCCTAGAAATCAATATCTGATCATCTCTGTGTATGATAATGTCGTTTTTCAAGCTAAATTTATTTTATTCTAATAATTCGGCGTTTGCTTTCTTGCAAGTAGTGTTGTTATCTTTTTAGATTGTTTAAAAGTAATCAAACTTCTAAGATTTTAAAACTACCCAAAAAGTTACCTCAACCATCTGAAGGTACATATTGCTACTTGCAATAGAATGCGCAAGTCAGTTTTTAGAGAAATCACAAGTGAAAATAATCAGTATTCAAAAACAGGTTGCACGACTTCTTAGCCATCAATATTATTTTCTACAATTTAGTTTACCCACAACTTACCTAGTCTTATCTATATACTTGTATAGTTTACCCACAGCTTACCTAGTCTCTATATACTTGTATAGTTTACCCACAGCTTATACCTAGTCCTATCTATATACTTGTATAGTTTACCCACAGCTGACCTAGTCCTATCTATATACTTGTATAGTTTACCCACAGCTTATACCTAGTCCTATCTATATACTTGTATAGTTTACCCACAGCTTACCTAGTCCTATCTATATACTTGTATAGTTTACCCACAGCTTACCTAGTCCTATCTATATACTTGTATAGTTTACCCACAGCTTAAGTGTTTATTTCTTGTAATTTCACCATTGTTAATGAAGCAAGAAATGCAAAAATGACTTTTTTAGAGAACACCAATACAATGCAATAGTTTTCAAAATCGAAAAATGGATAGATAATTCATACTGTATTAGACAAAGCTTTTAAGAGTATTGTTGTGAATTGGACGTGCCACTCATATCATTTGAGGGTCACTTGAAATTACGTTTACAGTCCCTTTAGGAGGGATTGTTTGCCCATTTCACAATGTTACAGTTTTTGTGAATAAAAACATCTCTATTAGGAACATCTCTATTAGGAACATCTGTATTAGGAACATCTATATTAGGAACATCTGTATTAGGAACATCTCTATTAGGAACATTTCTATTAGGAACATCTCTATTAGGAACATCTCTATTAGGAACATCTCTATTAGGAACATCCCTATTAGGAACATCTCTATTAGGAACATCTACATTAGAAACATCTCTATTAGGAACATCTTTATTAGGAACATCTTTATTAGGAACATCTCTTTTAGGAACATCTCTATTAGGAACATCTCTATTAGGAACATCTCTATTAGGAACATCTCTATTAAGAACATCTTTATTAGGAACATCTCTATTAGGAACATCTATATTAGGAACATCTCTATTAGGAACATCTCTATTAGGAACATCTCTATCAGGAACATCTCTATTAGAAACATCTCTATTAGGAACATCTATTAGGAACATCTCTATCAGGAACATCTCTATTAGGAACATCTCTGTTAGGAACACAATTTACTAAGTTAAGTCTATCCCACGGCTGAGAGATAGTTTGGACCAGAGCCGTTACTGGGAGTTCCTTTAATGAGGGGGGGGGGGGGAGATCACAACGAGTGAACCGAAATGAACGAGTTGAGGGGCTGAATTGAAAATTTCAATTTTTTTGTTAAACTATTCATTATATCTTGATGAAATTTTATCATAACATTCTATTTCATGATTTAAAAAATAAACCTAGTTATTTTAGTTTGTGTTTGATGATATCTTTGGTTGACAAAGCACTTTACATTTTCAAAATAGTAAAATATTCTTTTTAGTAAACTCAAAATCAAGCTTGATTGTTTTTCTTTGAAAATATATGAATTAGAAAATTTTAGTTTGTGGCAAAGACTAAATTTTATTATTTTTATTATTTACCTGAAATGTTGTAGTAAAGGTTGAAGGTGTTCAACTGATGAATTCTGAACGGGACGGAGATATAAATACTCAGAGATACCAACATTCTCTCGGATACTTCCCCGTCCCATTCACTCCTCTCGAGCTTTCAAATCTTCTCTTCTACGTTCTTTTCTCTTGCAATCTTCTCCTCTCCGTCCCATCCACTCCTCTCCAGCTTTCAAATCTTCTCTTCAACGTTCTAATCTTTTGAAATCTTCTCTTCTCTGTCCCATCCAATCCTCTCGAGCTTTCAAATCTTCTCTTCTATGTTCTAGTCTCTTGCAATCTTCTCTTCTACGTCCCATCCACTCCTCTTGAGCTTTCAAATCTTCTCTTCTACGTTATATTCTCTCGCAATCTTCTCCTCTCCATCCCATCATTTCCTTTCGAGCTTTCAAATCTTCTCTTCTACGTTATATTCTCTCGCAATCTTCTCCTCTCCACTCCGTCCCATCCACTTTTCTTGAGCTTTCAAATCTTTTCTTCTACGTTCTATTTTCTTCCAATCGTCTCTTCTCCGTCCCATCCACTCCTCTCAAGCTTTCAAATCTTCTCTTCTACGTTCTATTCTCTTGCAATCTTCTCCGCTCTGTTCTAGGGCGGCCCTGTAAAAATTGTTCAGAGCTGCACTTTTTCTTTTGAATAGATATATATATGAAACGATTCTACAAGGATTTCAATACATGTCATTGAAGTGGAGGAAAATCACTTTTCTTCAATAACATATCACTTCAAAATATTTATAGATTTCTTAAGGTGTCTAAATCATTAAGCATAGAATATATCAAATAGAAAGTTAAAAACTAAAAAAATTGTTTTAATATTTGTCAGCGAGTGTTTTGACAAGGATAGTGTATAGTAAAAAACCAGATTATTTTTTGAACTGTTCATTAATCGACCATTTTTGAAGGTATTTAAAAAAGTAATGACATTTTAGAATAAGTTTAAAATATAGAAAATGAAAATAAAAATTAATTTTTTTGTTCAGTTCTCAGGGTATGTTAGTGAGCTGCAAGTGCGCATCAGTAAAACCGATGATTCTGGGGCTATAACTGATTATAAAACTATCATTTTTCAAAATATTCAGTATAAATTGGTTTTATCTTTTAGACCATTATCTGGGATTTCCAATATGATATAAAACATTATTCTCAGTCAAAAACTTTGGATTTTATAAAAGTTTTAGGAAATAAAATCAATAAAGTTCAAAAATGGCCAAAAAATCACGTTTTTTCCGACGGCACCGGAAAAAATGGTCAAAAATAAAAAATATTTTGGATTTATCTTAGTTTCATATATATCTATTCAAAAGAAAAAGTGCACCTCTGAACAATTTTTACAGGGCCGCCCTACTCTGTCCCATCCACTCCTCTCGAGATTTCAAATCTTCTCTTCTACGATCTATTATCTTTCAATCTTCTCCTTTCCGTCCCATCAACTCCTCTTGAGCTTTCAAATCTTCTCTTATACGTTCTATTCTCTTGCAATCTTCTCCGCTCCGTCCCATCAACTCCTCTCGAGCTTTCAAATCTTCTCTTCTATCTTCTCCGCTCTGTCCCATCATCTCCTCTCGATCTTTCAAATCTTCTCTTCTACGTTCTATTTTCTTGCAATCTTCTCCTCTCCATCCCATCCACTCCTCTCGAGCTTTCAAATCTTCTCTTCTACGTTCTATTATCTTGCAATCTTCTCCTTTCCGTCCCATCATTTCCTTTCGAGCTTTCAAATCTTCTCTTCTACGTATCTTGCAATCTTCTCCTTTCCGTCCCATCATTTCCTTTCGAGCTTTCAAATCTTCTCTTCTACGTTCTTGCAATCTTCTCCTCTCCGTCCCATCAACTCCTCTCGAGCTTTCAAATCTTCAATTTCACTGAACACCCCTTGGCGCCCCTTTTTATGAAAATGGTTCATTTTGGATCTTTAAACTATTGAAGACACTTTCTAAAGAATGGTATGGTTTAAAATAATTATTTTCTTAGTTTTTGACAATTGAAATCCAAGAGGGGGGTGTTCAGTGATATTGGATTTCTAGGCGCCCCTTTCAATAAAAATGTTTTATTTTGGATCTTTCAGCTTTTAAAGACTCTTCCGAAAGGATGGTATGGTTTAAAATAATCTAAAATTATTATTTTCTAAGTTTTTGACAAATTAAATCCAAGAGGGGGGTGATCAGTGATATTGGATTTCCAGGCGCCCCTTCGATGAAAATGGTTCATTTTGGATCTTTAAGCTTTTGAAGACTCTTCCAAAAGGATGGTACGGTTTAAAATAATCTAAAATTATTATTTTCTTAGTTTTGACAAATTAAATCGAAGAGGGGGGTGTTTAGTGATATTTTCTCTCTTGACGCCCAAAAAAGTATTTATTATTTATCATTTCAAAAAAATATTAAATATTTTTAAGATTTCATTTCCTTTCCTTATTTAATTTCGCATTAATGGCACTGATTCTATTTAATATTCAGGAATCTGGTGTAGATCAAACGACCCCCCTGACTAATGGCTGTTTAGCCCCTGAACGATACAGTGCTCCTCCTACAAGCTGAATCTGTCCTTTTTAGGCTTTTTTGTCATGGTCTAATATTCTGTCAGACCTAAAATCTTTAAAACAATAAAAATATATCGGCAATAAAATATTCATATACATAAATACCTGTTTTGGGTTAAAAAAATTCAATTTTTTCAAATTTGCAATTTTTTTGCCGACTCTGCAAGTAGAGCACAAGAGCTTTCCAATGATGTAACATTTGTCATATTTGGACATCAAACATGGGATTTAGAGGGGGGGGGGGAAAATGACCCCCCCCACCATATCCTGGTTTTCAAGTACCCCAGCAGAGAAAGGGTTAAATTGTTAAACAATCTTTGCAATCTGCAAACTTAGTTTATTCGATCTAATATGATTTATACTTTGAAATATCTTGGGTTCTCCAGTGGGTTGCAAACATATTGGGATTAGAACATCAACGACTCCATTACTAGCTTTGTGTTACTGCAAATAAAGAATGCAGAAAACTTTGAAGTTTTTTTGTTTAATTATTTCATGTTTGTTTTTGTTTAAGGTTTACTAGGATGTTACAATTCAAAACTGGTTTATTTTTATTGCTCTGCAGAACTAACTAGAGAATACAAATGGGTAAAGAAGGTTGCATTTAATATACAGGGTTACCCACAAAAGTATGAACCTTTAGAGACGACTGTACGGAATTTATACGTTCTGTTAATTTATATTTGTGATTCCCTGCAACTGTAACATTTTTTCTTTATTTTCCCAATCATTAAATAATTCATTAAAAGACTATATCTACAATGCAGACGGTTTAATTCAACCATTGATCATATTTCAGGTCGTCTTTACAGTCTCATCCTCTGTGTGGGTAACCCTGTATCAGAAACGGGACTGTTAGGTTACAAATGTTGCAACATAAACTATAAAACAGCTCAACTTTCTAGAATACTTCCTTAACCAAAAAATGGTTAGAAAAAAGCTCTGTACGTACTACGTACAATATTAAATATTATTCTGTAATATATTTTACAATTTTTAAAGTTATATTTATTTTTATAAATATGTTGAAAAATGTTATCACTAGACACAAAAAAGTAGCAAGGATAAGTATGAGAACAAAGTCCGTCAGGAAAGGTGGAGGAAGATGTACGCTAGATTTTTTTGGATAGAAAATAAAGTCATAACTTTTGATGAAAAGTTTATTTTACCATGTCATTGTATGATTTCTTTCACAAGTCTTGGGTTTTATATCAGAACTTAATATCAGAATTTAACATCAGAACTTAACATCAAAATTTAACATCAGAATTTAACATCGGAATTTAACATCAGAATTTAACATCAGAATTTAACATCAGAACTTCACATCAGAATTTGATTTTAACTTAATTTGATTAGTGTTGAAAAAACGAACGATGGAATGAAAAAAAATCAATCGATTTTTTAAAACAAACGAATAAAACGATCTTGATATTTCTTGAACGATTTCTAAGTCATTCCTCTTCTTTCGAATGAACTTGAAAACGAACGATGTTTCGAAGACTATTTATAAATACTATCGCTTTTTTACTAAAAGAGCTATTTTATAGAACGAACGATGTAACTGAACAAACAATTTTACTAACGACCATACGGTGAGAAAACGAACAAAATCATTTTTTTAGACGGTTGAAAAAAACAAACAAAATGGGTCGTTCACGAATGAAATAAAGAAAAGCCTAACGCGCCAATCTCTATTGATATCTCGTGGTGGTTAATACCAGCAGGGAAAACTGAAATGATGGGATCAAGCATTTATTGTCAAATTCAAAGTGCCCACATTGGATATCGAAACTAAGCGTTCACGATTAAAGATACACAACAGTTCAGATCTCCTAATAGTTGTTTTTCTTGTGGTTATTTTTCAGGAACAAGAATAAAGGAAAGGGAAATGGCGCTGGTCTAGCATGAGAAAGCCAGTCGCACTTCTTTGCAGACGGGTTCTTTATCACAGACGCACACTTTTTTGGTGCAGACACACACGCATGACTACAGTCAAGGAAAGTGCAGAACGATGACTTAAATATATAAATATTATATTACATGTATATTAAACTTATTTTTAAGTAAACAATTAACAATAAACAAATTTACTCTCCTAGACTGTACAAATACCAAGATTCTTCTGGTATGCTGAATACACCGACAGTACAACTATTCGGTTCCTTATCACAGACGCACACTCTTTTGAACAGACACACACATGACGTTTACACACCCTGTTATTTTTATGCAACATAGATTGCGGTTTCAGAACGATATTCGAAAGATATTGTTGAAAAAAATATATGACAATTCTTGAACATTTTTTTTACTTTGATTTTAAACTTAACTTTCCTTTTTTAAATAGACGAATTCGGAACTAGAGAGTAATTTCATCTCATAATGATATGACTCAAACATTTCTAATTTGATTGTTTGACCTTGTTTAACAAAAAGTATTTTGTTTCCGAAAAACCATCAATTTTTTATTTTCATCATATTTTACGTAAATTTATCACATTGCTTAATGCTTTGCGCTACTCCTTTCAATAATAATTTTAGCTTTGAAATATTATTCTACCTAAACTACGTTTAGAAACGATTTTTCTATTTAACATTAAAAAATAGCAATTTAACGATTTCCCTATTTTTGTCATATTTTTGTTAACGTTCATTGAACACAACAAACAGACCAGGTAAATAATTTATAAACTTTGGTGCTATTAATTATATTATTATAATATATAATAATATAATTATATAATATATAATTATATTATTATTATATAATATATTAATAGGCGGACAAGGTTAATCAATGGCGAAAGCCTTATAAAAAAATCCTTGATTTCCGTATAAATTATTTCAAATATAAAATATTTACTTGAATATATTTATTTACAAACCTGGAAGATATATAGTCCTTGCTTTCACTTTCAAGCATACAATTTATACCCTGTACTCAGGCAGAAATCCAATAAACATCAGAGGATTAATAGGAATAGCTCAAACTTTTCCTTTATCTAAGTTTTTTCATTAGTAATAGCGAACATTTTATTCTAACAAATCAAGGATTATTTTATTCTGAAAAATATTGATTAAAAGTCCATTTCTATACTTTAATCCCCCTAAAATAAACTTTTTCTCCCCAAATATTTAAAATTTAGCGATTAAAAATATAAAGGAGAAGCTGACTTTGTAAGAAACTTTTTATCCTTGACCTGTATTCTGCTCAATTTTGATAATTTTTCATGAATAAGGATTAATTATAATTTTTTGAAAATACAGAATAAAGATCCGAGGATCATTGAAGTTCACTGGTTCAAAAATTAATCTTTAAAAAGTAGGAAAAAGGTAAAATATCTTTTCCAAGACATTAAACTGTTAAGAATTGATGATTTTAAAGTTTTCATGAATAAAAATTGTCAACCTGGAAACTTTGATGAAACTTTAATGACAAGGATTTACAAAGAAGAATCATGTCGGATTAAAACTTTAATTGCCAAAACTGAAATATTGTAGAACTAGTTAAAACAGGGCGAGGGGGGGGGGTGTTGCGGGGATTTAGAATTTCGGGAATAGAGAGAAAAGTAAAAGTTGACTGGATGGAGTGGAAAATATTGCAACATTGAACAGTAATATTTTGTTACATTCTTCTTTTTAATTTTTTCTACTCAATTTGATCAAGATTAATGGCAAGATTAAAATGTTAACGATTTGAAGAATATGTATATTCTAGTTTGTCTGTATGTATATGGTATACAATAAATAAACTCATGTTCATTTGACCCTCTGGGTAACTAGAATATTCTTGTAATTAATATATCAATTATATATATATTATCAATATTATCAATATACCACTTGAAGAATATCCTATGTCTGTCTGATCATGATTAACCGATTTGCCTCAAATTTTGATTAGGGAACTCGACAGAAACACTGGAATATTTAAATAATAGACGAGTGATTTGACTTCTTAAACCAAGGTTTAGTTTCCAAGCAAAGCAGGGTTTCCGAGTTAGTGTCAAATAAGATTGTATTGGATTTTTCTTACCTCTCCCAGCTCTTTCTTAAAAATATAGAACGAATATTTAGTACAATGATAACCAGCAAACTCCGGAATAGGAAGTAGACTTCTAGACTCGTGACTTTAAATTTAATCCAATGAACATGAGGCACATCAATTATGCAGTGTAAACAGACCCGTTCCCCTTAATAAGTTAAGTGACAGTAGAACTTTTTGCTTCGTAACAAGATCAGTATTGTTTATATCTCGTCTTTCTATTCTCCGGGTTTCTGACGATCACTTTAAACCTATGGAAATTACAATATCTTTTTCATAAAAAACATTCCCAAAATATGTAATCCTATCAAGGAATCAAGATAATTGTGTGATTGTATGATTCTTAGTATAAATATTTGTATTTCCCAGAAAGGATAAAATCTGGGGATATTACTTCTTTACTCACACGATATGAGACTGTACTTTAGTTAAGTCGGGATCAAGATTTCATCGCCATTATTCGTCCTCTTATGCTGATTAATTTACTTCCTCTTTAATATTCCTTAATGGTCATGATAACTTTGATCAAGTCAATCATCTGTTCTCAAATTTTGAAGAGCCCACACTGGATTACAGGGGTCCATATAATTCCATTTCTGATCCCAAATGGGATCGGGGTTGAAAGTACATTAAGGGGCATGAAAGTACACTTTATATGTCATTGTGTACTTCAGAAATGTGTACTGCATATGGTATGTTAAAAGATGTAAATATTAGTATTTAATGTAAGAGATAAATAATGATAAACAGAAAAAAACACTCCCTTGCAGTAAACATTCTTCAGTATGGAATTTTTTCTACAACTTGACATTATACTTCCAATTGTTTACAATAACAACATGGTTAATTTCTGCCCCTAATATCAATCAATCAACATTTGGTATTGATCAGATGGAATTATATGGACCCCTGGATATACAGGGTTCAAAATTAACAATTCTCTACACACAATTTCCGATCTCTTGAGTACGTGAATTTAGTCTTATCATCTTTAATGCTTGATAAATGCAAATAAACTGCTAAAGAGAATTCAAAATTGTATTCATATTCTAGATAAAAAAATGATTTTGAGTATTTTCCTGTAAGAAAATTCATCAAAAGCTGCTTGTTATCGACTTATACTAAAAATGCAAAAACATTGAGGGAGGGAGAGAAGAATTTTACCGACAAAAATTCCAAAAATAAATTATTTATAACGATTAGATTTTGATAATAAATTCATTCCAGTACTCAATAAAAAATCCTAGTGTGCAAAACTATTCATTAATTGAAAAATATAAAAAAATATTAATAAGATTTTCAACGAAAATTGAATTTACGTGCAAACAAAAGACTTTAAATAAGAAAGCCGCAAAGTTTATGAAAAGAAGGAATAATTTGATGAAATTTCAATAAAAAATAAATTTTAATCCTTATTCAAAGAATTTTGTTGAAAAGACGGTTTATTCAGTATACAACATTATAAATACTTCCAAAAATACTAATATTCTAAAATTTCCTTTCATACCTAATCACATGTTAAATTGAGATCAAAATTTTAATTAAATATTTTTAATTAGGTTTAAAGCATTCTTGATGAAGTTAGGTTCAGTTCACTAGACACGAGTTCTCTTCTCTCCGTACAACCTATAATGTATAATTGTTAAGATAGGGTGTCCCAAAAATCATCAGAATAATTTGATAAATTAGAAAGTCGTTATAAAATCTATAATATTTCGGATTTAGCTTTAAGAATTTGAAGCTCATGAATACAGATAAACTAAAATATAAGACATCGAAAAACTTTTTAAAATATTGCCTTGAAATGTATTACTAGGGTTTGCCGCTGAAATGCCCGGAATTGCCCGTGGATTTTTATAGATCGAAATTTAAAACAAAAATTTCGATTAAAAAAAATCCGAATTTTGAAGAAAAAAATCTATTTTTTAGCCTATGTTAACTCAAGGGTTCCTTGAAAAATGTCAGCCCATTCGGTCTAGCTGTTTGGCCAGCTATAGCTGAAATACATATGAACGAAGTGCTTTATTATATAGATGAAGGATTTTATAAGTAAATTAGAGCCAAACTATATGAAGCTGTTTGATAACATATAATTCAGAGCAATTTCTGAGTATTTACTCAACTTAAACAAGATAAAATATTTTCTGAACAACACGGAAATTTTGATTGTGCTTCAGTAAATTACATATATCCCTGTAAATTCAAATTTAAGGCGACATTATAAAAATTCTTCCTTTGTCTAATTATAAATGAGTTTAACTTTTTTTAAGCTTCTGATTGGTGGATCTAACTTAATCTGTCGATTCAGAAGAATAAGGATGAGGAATTTATGTCGGAATTATAAATCAATAGAAACAAATTTATATCTTGAAAATGTAAAACTCTAGTTTTACGTACCTACACTTTCATTCAAGGATTTCCACACTTTTTACATAACAAAGTACATTTAATAGAAGTACACTTAACGTTTAATGAAAACGTGAGTACAACTGTTACATATGTATTATAAAGAGAACAATTATTAATTTTAATTTTTGTACTGCATACATTACTTTTGATTTCCAGCTTATTGTTTGTTATAGTTTGAACCGGTTTACGTGCATTGTAAATAAAATGGAGGTATAGAGTGTTGACAAAAATAAGAACTTAAAACTTTCAACTAAAAAGTGAAGTCACTATCTATAAGCTGAACATTATTGTTTGAGCATAAGCGTACTACTTAGTGGTTTGTACATAAATATTTGGCAGTACGTTTAGAAAACACATATATATACATGGATACAAATTAAATGCATAGAACTATTGGCCCAAATGTAGGGTTTCAAATCGGAATTCTGTTGCGCGGAATTGCGCGCAATGGTTGCTTCTGCTTGCGCCATTTCATTGCGCGCAATTGCGCTTAAATTGCGAAAAAGGAAGCAATTAAATGTTCGCGGAATTGCGTGGAATTGCGCGGAATTGCGTGCATCGTAATTGGTTTCATATCTAAGAATCAATAATTTCAAATGTTAGACTTACAAATGCAGCAGATACAAGAATGGAATTAAATATCTCTGTTGATTTTAAAATAATCGAGGCCCGAGTGTCACTTGTTTCAACAGTTTTCAAATTTTAAAGTTTCTTGCGGTTAAGCTACTAATTAACAATTAAATACGATACATTTTTCATTTGTTAACATTGGATAAACTTTAAAATGGAAAATTTGTTTGGTTAAAATTGTAAGGTTCGTTTATTCAAAATTAGATATTTTGCTACAGTGAGAACCAGAAAACTATGGTACAGAAAGACAACATCACAGTGTATTTAATGTTATAGTTACAAGTCAAACAAAATTAATTATTAACTTATTAAATCACTTATCCAGTTACATGGGTCTGCTTGAGTCTAAAATATCGTCTTTCTATGCCAGAGTTTTCTGGTTATCATGCTGCAAAGAAATATTGTAAAACAAAATATTAAGTTTCAATTCAATTTTCTTAGCATTTGAGACTGAAAGTGAAGTTCAGTTTATGGTATGCCACAGCCAAAGTTTAAATTGAATATTTTTGAACGCAATTCGCGCGCAATTCCGTTGCGTTTATTGGCGCGCAATCATTACGGAATTGCGCGCAATTAAATTCACTTGCGCGCAAGGGCTCGCAATTTCGCGCAAGTAAAATCCACTTGCGTTGGAAACCCTACCCAAATGTAAAACAAATGAATTAAACTTATGTACAGTGTAAACGATGTACAGAGTTTATTTTGTGAGCAAATACGAACATAAAGAATTTATGTACGAAGAATTGGGTACATAAATTATAATGTGCAAGAACTTGCAGTAAAATTTTGCTACTTTAAATTGAGATTTCTCATAATTTAACCGGGATAACAGGGGGGGGGGGGGGTTCTTTTAGGGTGAAGGAGGGGGGTTACAAAATATCCATTTCACCGCTATCGTACGTTTACACATGTACCGTACAGTTTCCTACTTGGTAGAGATAGATCCTGAAGAGAGAAGGGTTGCCATGTGTTTAGCCACGCTATTCATTTTCTCCTCACACAACGATGTGTACAATCCACCAAAAGTACAAAACTTAGGACGAGTCTCTGCAAAAAAGAACGATTTAAAGGGACTGTGGATATAATTTCTACCAACTCTTTAATTATAGAGAGCATGACAGATTCACCCTTTAACAATGTAAAAGGTATTGTAAGTTTTTCTAGCTTGAAAATATTTTCTGGAGCAGAATATACAGAGCACTTCTAAAGAGAAGCTAAAACTTAAAACGATCAATTTTACAAGTTCTTGTCCATTCTTGGAAAGTTGATCAAACCAGGCATTTAAAGGTATTTAGGTACCACGTTGAATCGGACATGTCTCATACTAAACAGTATAGTCCTATAAAAGTACAAAATTTAGACAAAGTCTTTGCAAAATAAAACGATAACAAATCTCGAGAAAAAAAATGGCGGACAAGAATTTCGTGGGTTTTCTTTCAAAAGTAATTACCTTTCCATGTCAGCAAAGTTTGGTAGGCGCATTCTCGCATTCCGGATCCTTTATGTGCGTGCTCAAGGTTTAACAATACTGATTCTTCAAGTCCCAACGTGCGCCCTAAAATTTGAAAAATATTTACGTTTAATAAGGGGTTTGGTTCAGATCATACCCNCCCCCGGATATTTCTATTTGATCATACCAAGCGCTCTCCAATTGATCGCGTTCATATGAGCAGATATCTGCCAGAGATCTTGATCGGTCAGCTTGTACGGGTTCCTCTTAAACTGCTCAGTAGATACACTCCGAGCCTTTTTACTTGCCTAAGCATTTGTCATTTAGATATTTTCTTTAAAAATTAAAAATATTCTTAAAAACAAAAACAATAAACAACAACAACAACAGCAACAAAAAGAACAAAACAACTATAACAATAATTACATGTCCGGTATCCTCCGGCCCGCTCTCGTCACTACTGCTGTAGCTGTCCCTCTCCTTCCTCTTCTCCTTCTCTCCTCTACTTGCTCTGAACAATAAACAGCTGATTACTAGGCGGCCATTTTGATTTTTAAATACTTTAATCAAGGTATCGTTAATTTTCTTTCTGTAGGGCAATGTATGCAAAAGTTAAAATAAAAGTTCGGTAAATTGTATTCCTGCTACGGTTTAAAAAAATAGTTTGGAGTACTTTAGGGACCTAAAATAAATATTTTTTATCTGTAAACTATAAAGGATGGATAATAAAAGTTAAAAACTTGAAAAGTGACTTTTACTACTTAAAGAAGAATATTCTTTCTACTTCAGAATTTTCGAACCCGTCATACTTCATGATCATATTTTATTCATTCATCCATCTTATTTGCTATATGTAATATGTAACGTATGAGCATTGAGTAATATAATCTGGAGTCGTCCATTTAGCACACAAAATGAAATATAATGTGCCTGAAATATAATGCATTTTTCATTTTTAAATTCAAAGTTAATTTCACGCCAGTTCCCCTAGATTCAATCAGTTTCATTTGAAAGACAGAAAAGGTTTTAAAAATATTTGTCATTTATAATGATTAAAATGTTCTACCCACTACACAATCTTGGAGATTATTTTTTATTTCACATATCTAAGGGTTTAGATGAGAAACATCTATATATATATACAGTTGTAATCTCTATTTGTCTGTTTGTTTGACAGAACTCGAGAAACCCACGGGAATGTTCTTAACTTGGTTTTAAGGTTCTAATAGCGAACATTTTGTTTCCCGGTAAAATTGTTCAAGTGCAGGTAAGCGGCGGGAGTAACTATGAGTAAGATGGGCAGCGCTGGGTTACCAAGCTAGTTCTATATATAAGTATTAATCTCCGTTTGTAAGTCCGATCATAACTTTTAAACCCCTTGTCCTTTTTTGCCTCAAATTATAATAAGGGAACTCGTTTGAACCGTAGCATTGACAATTTTAGAGAAAGTTTAGTTTCCAGACAATACAAAGCTGTGTTTCCAAGTTAGTTTTTAATAAAATGTATATTTTTATTACCTTGAGCAGGCTGAAGCTGTTCCCTCAGTTCTTCTTCTCTTTGCCAAACTTAGATCTTCTAGAGCCTAGACATTTATTTATATTATCTTCCTAGACATTTATTTATTTTATCTTCCTAGACATTTATTCATTATTATTTTCCTAGACATTTATTTATATTATCTTCCTAGACATTTATTTATATTATCTTCCTAGACATGTATTCATTATTATCTTCCTAGACATTTATTTATTTTATCTTCCTAGACATTTATTCATTATTATTTTCCCAGACATTTATTCATTATTATTTTCCTAGACATTTATTCATTATTATCTTCCTAGACATTTATTTATATTATCTTCCTAGACATTTATTTATATTATCTTCCTAGACATGTATTCATTATTATCTTCCTAGACATTTGTTTATTTTATCTTCCTAGACATTTATTCATTATTATTTTCCTAGACATTTATTCGTTATTATTTTTCTAAACATTTATCCGGTATTATTTTCCTAGACATTTATATTCATTATTATTTTCCTAAACATTTATTCATTATTATTTTCCTAGACATTTATTCATTATTATTTTCCTTGACATTTATTCATTATTATTTTCCTAAACATTTATTCATTATTATTTTCCTAAACATTTATTCATTATTATTTTCCTAGAAATTTATTCATTATTATTTTCCTAAACATTTATTCATTTGTGGAAGACGATGCCTGGCCGCGTTAAACTAGTTCCACAAGATTCAACAGAATGAGATAGAACGGATACGGGGCATAGTACTGATATCATCATCTACAGTCTACACGTGCGATATCGATATTGACTCTAGTTCTGAACCCTCTAGTAATAAGTTATAAGAAATATATATACTGGAAGTTATNATTCATTATTATTTTCCTAGACATTTTATAATTATTATTTTCCTAAACATTTATTCATTATTATTTTCCTAGACATTCATTCATTATTATTTTCCTAGACATGTATTCATTATCATTTTCCTAGACATTTATTCTTAATTATTTTCCTAGACATTTAATCATCATTATTTTCCTAGACATTTATTCATTATTATCTTTCTAGACATTTATTCTTTATTATTTTCTTAGACATTTAATCATCATTATTTTCCTAGACATTTATTCAGTATTATCTCCAAAGACAAAATCTTTAAAATCCTCGACATTTATTCATTATTATTTTCCTACTTTTCCTAGACATTTATTCATTATTTGTTCTTTATTTTCTTGAGACAAATAACATCTTAAAGAGCCTAGACAGTAGACATTTATTCTTTATCTTATTCCCAGATAATTTCTATAGAGCTGAGACATTTATTTATAATTATCTTCCTAATTTAGACATTTATTTAGATTATCTTTATATCTGCATACCTTCTCCCTTCCTCGTTTCCTGCTATCCTTGGTATCTAATATACTCTTGCCTTTTCCCTTCCTCGTTTCCTGCTATCCTTGCTATCTAATATACCCCTACCTTCTCCCTTCCTCGTTTCCTGCTATCCTTGCTATCTAATATACTCCTACCTTCTCCCTTCCTCGTTTCCTGCTATCCTTGCTATCTAATATACTCCTACCTTCTCCCTTCCTCGTTTCCTGCTATCCTTGCTATCTAATATATTCCTACCTTCTCCCTTCCTCGTTTCCTGCTATCCTTGCTATCAGCAGGAGATGTGTCAAGAGCATGCATATCTGCAGTTCCACTGTCAGAATCTTCTTCATTACGCCACGGAGTTAATCCAAAGAATGAGAACCTAGGAGTATAAAATCAGAATTAATAAATATGTCAGGTTAATACACGAATCAGTAGGTCAGTTTATCAAATAGGTCAGAGTAACAAGTAGGTCAGTTCATCCAATAGGTCAGGGTAACAAGTAGGTCAGTTTATCCAATAGGTCAGGGTAACAAGTAGGTCAGTTTATCCAATTGGTCAGGGTAACAAGCAGGTCAGAGCTTTATGTCAGATTGAAACCTTACTTGTTTTCAATCAAACTATGAGGAAGTATACAATATGAAATCAAATAAATTTGCTTTTTTTCAGGCTTAAAACCGAAACTAGAGGAGCTACGAGGACACACAACTGTGCAATGTATTATTTGACCTTTTCTCATGTGTAGATTTAAGTTTGGTTAACAAACATGTAAAACCAGTTTTTAAAGTATTTCATGTTAACACACAATTATGATTTGTCGGCTTGTTAAAAATGTTATGTAAGTTTATAAATGTAGTAAATTTCAAGACTTGTTTCACCTTTTTGTAATATTTTGAGCTGCTGAATCCTGGCTTCTCTGGCTTCCCGAACCAGAAATACCTGCAGACAAATAAATCATTAAAAGAAATCATTATCCTGGCCATGACAATGATTATAAGTAATATCTTTACCATGACCATTATCCGAACCGTGACCATTATCTTGGCCATTCCTATATCTTAATTATAACCATTACCATGACCATGACCATTGACCATTATCTTGACCAAGGCCATTTTCTTGACCATGAACATTAACTCGCTATGCCACTGACACAAAACATGACCATAATTTCGATTATGCACATAAACTAGACTAATACTTGCCAATACTTCAACAATTATCAATTGACCATGACCATGAACATGACAATCATTTCGATCATGACCCTTATCTTGACCATGTACAGTAACATATTCATAACCCTGATCATCTCCTACCCGATGAAGTAGATCCCGGAGTTCCTGATTTATTACTGATAGAACTAGAGCCTAGATTCAGATCCCTACTCACAGAGTACAAAGCCTGAAAAAATTAACAAAATTAATTATTTTATTTTCAGGGGTTTCTCTGAATTGTTATATTAGGTTTATCATTTAAAAGATGTTTAGTACTATCAAGCGTCAACTTCCCAAGTGGCAACTCCATAACTGCGCAATTTCATAAGTGGCAACTTCGCAAGTCTGTCCTAGCTACGGCTCTTGCCCCCTAACCTCTTCTAAACTCAGTGCTTAGGGCACAAATGTATGATACATTTTTGATGAAATCGAAAATTAAACCTCCAAATAACGTTTTAACTGCACATCTTTAAAAAAGTCATTGAATAAAGAAAGATATGATAAAAAGGTGTTTTTAAAAAACAAATTGAAGAAAAAAGATTACTGAAGACCAAAAAATCATTCATTGTAAAGATGACAATTTAGGATGACAAATGTGTTCCCTTATTCCTTTTAATAAAGTGCGCCGAATACTGAACAAATCTATATAAAATCCATCAACATCTCTTGTAATATTTCTAAATTTTTGTTGTTGAAAGATTAAGCTCATTGAGGAGTTGTATTAGTAGTAGTAAATTACCCTTTTATTAAAAATGGAAAAATTTATCAATATCTTTAAACCATTTGTCGATAACTATTTCGTTTCAGGAATTAGCACTTCAAAAAGGACTTTGATATAAGAGGATTTTAAAGTAAATTATCCAAGGTTGCATTATAAGGCTAATTACTTTCGTTGCGCTCCAATGTACGGAAAATGTCGTCTCCTAAGATAGATAGATAAATACCCTATATGACGTCACTGATTATAGAGGCGGGAGTGACTTCATATTTGGTATTTATCCATTTATCTTAGGAGACGACATTTTCAGCACATCGGAGCGCAACAAGAGTAAATAACCTTATTATACAACCTTGGAATTATCGATAATATATTCATTACGATAGCTTATTGAAAAACTATATCTTCATTCCATATCTTTTAAATCTTCACCAAAGCATCAAGTTGAAATATTAGAAGGGGAACTTTATAATTCCAGACAAAGTTGGGTATCTTTTCACACAAGTTTTATATTCTATTTTACGAACCGATTTTTTAATGCTTTAGAATGGAAAGTAGACGAGCATACTTATACAATACACATACAGATGCAGAAAATGGATAAGTATATACGACGCTTATCTAATTCATCAAATACATATTAACTATTATATTTTATATTGTATGTATTATGTACTTATACAATACACATACAGATGCAGAAAATGGATAAGTATATACGACGCTTATCTAATTCATCAAATACATATTAACTATTATATTTTATATTGTATGTATTATGTACTTAT